AACATCAGAAAAATATTAAATTCTCCCAAATGATAATGTTGAAGTGTTGTGCAAAACAAAAGAAATAAAAATAATTTTAACCGTTCGGATAGCTACCGACTTAGTGCTGTGTGGAAGCGTATCATCAAGTAATTCATTGTTTAAATGCACGCCTATACAAGCCACCATACTTCAATAGAGATTACCGTTGGTAGAGCTATTTGATGAAGCAAGTTGTAATTACTGGCGAAACGTCGTACTCAGATTGTAAATGTTGTGGCTAGGCTCTCCAACACACCGGTGTGCTGTACTAGAAACGAATTGGCCACGTTCTGTTTACGTGACACCTTTACTAATTGGTTGTGTCGGGTGGAGGCGGGTTTAACGACACATTTGATTAATTACACGATCTAACCCAAAAAATCCCCAAATTTTGGATAATCAGTAGCATCATCAGGAGCAACTCAACAACCATGGTTCCATCAGGATCGGCATCATCTTCATTAGCAGCAGCAGCCGTATCAACATCATCATAACAAAAGCAGCAAAAAAACATCATATGCCTCACGATAAGCAGCTGCGTCATCATCACCCACACCATGAATAGATGCGTCGTGATCAATTTCCACAGAAATAGCACCATCAGCAACAGCATCAGCAGCACAACGGCTGTTGCATCATAAATAACTTCACCACCACCACCACCAACAACAATAACATCACCTGACCTATTTCTTCTAGAAGGCCGCGACGCTGCAAGATGGATTATGTAAGAAGACGCTCTTTTTTTACGTGTAGGAAACGTGTTAATGAAGGGGGCCGTGTTGTCTCTTCTCGGGGCAAAGGGTCGCTATAATAATAACAACATTGCCGGAACGATCGTCCTCCACAAACTCATCATCAATCATCACCACGCAGTGCTGCAGCAGTAGAGGGCTGTGCATGTCAATGTTCACGGTCATCATGCACCCGCACGCGTGGAGCCTCGTGGGTTTGTTTAGTTTACGATTTGTGGAATGACGACGATGATGATGATGATGAGAATACCCTTGGCTCAGATGAGCTGATGTGTGACACGGTCGCCATAACGTTCAGTTCAGTTGTTATTTTTCAGTTCAGTTTATTTTGGTATAGTTCTGTGAGCCATTCGGCTCTTGAATCGGGATAACGATCGATGGGAATGAACTGCAGGATAAGTAAGTTCGAGAGAAGGCTGCCAGGGTTAGGTTCAGGATAGATACTATTTTTTTTAATCTAAGGTAATGTTTAAGGAGTCGGCGAACCAACGTCTCAAGTTGATTTCGTCTGGCCAGGTCAGAACTCAAGAGACCCAGGATGAGTTTATGGGAAGAGTTAGTGACCTGGTTTATCAACATTACAAAAGTAGTTTTGATTTAGGAATAGGTTTTACCCTTTTAACTGGCACAAAAACTGACACCTTTATTCAAGGCATCATGTTTGCAATAACCACAACACAAGCAGTCAAAATGCAAACAAAAAAGACAACTCTGATAATAATATGCACTGCCCTTGAATTTGATTGGTCCACACCCGAGACAGCTTTTCTTAGAGCCTAGTCTCCATTGGTATTGGACCAGAAGACGCCAAAAGGCGTACAACTCAAAAACAGCGCACTATCAGAGTATTGAGGGCTCGGGGTGAGCATTTACATTATGAGACCTCCTTTGTCAGAAACAAGATATAGGAATAGGTTTTACCCTTTTAACTGGCACAAAAACTGACACCTTTATTCAAGGCATCATGTTTGCAATAACCACAACACAAGCAGTCAAAATGCAAACAAAAAAGACAACTCTGATAATAATATGCACTGTCCTTGAATTTGATTGGTCCACACCCGAGACAGCTTTTCTTAGAGCCTCGTCTCCATTGGTGTTGGACCAGAAGACGCCAAAAGGCGTACAACTCAAAAACAGCGCACTATCAGAGTATTGAGGGCTCGGGGTGAGCATTTACATTATGAGACCTCCTTTGCCAGAAACAAGATATAGGAATAGGTTTTACCCTTTTAACTGGCACTAGTTTTGATTTATTTAAATGAAGTTACAGCAATTAAACATTTTAAAACCATAGCGATAGCAACTGTAGCACCACATGAGATATGGAGAATATTCCGCGAACATAAATCATACATTTCCTGCAATGTAAGTCAGCTCGGGCAGATAATTTTGAGACTGATCGTATCCGCAATTACAAACTGAAGTTACGGAAACGTTAAACAGATATTGTGTGACGACTGTACTAATGTGTAAACAGACGGGGATATGCGAATCACATGGAGACATCGGGTTGGCGGGACACCGCTGGGAACCCACGGAGCGGACTGTGTGTATGCTGCCTGGGACGGCTATTGAATGCGAACCGGGATCAAAGCGACGAGATAAAGAGGATGAACAAGAGCGGGGTGGGAACAGCGCTTATTTGACCCCGCTGAACTTGATGGTGAGGGGCAGCGGGAGCGATGTGGCCTAGAAGAAGCCAGTGGTGTTGACAGTGCGTGGCGCTTGCTTGCTTGCTTGCTATCACGCGTTGATCATGGGCAACGTGGCCATGCCGGAGAAGTTACGGAACAAAGCCGACAGAGTGCGCAGAGAATCACGGGGAGATGGACGCTCGGAATTACATCGAGAGGTCCAGGTGGATTAGAGAACACACGCAGGATAATGGTATCATGCGAACTGTTTACAATAATAACAACACAATGTAACACAATTTTTGTTCCTGGGTAGTAAGTGTTATATCGTTATTGCTTATGCCTAAAAAGTATAGAAAATGGCTATTATTCCCCACAAACTTTGCTTTTGTGACCAGGACAGTGATATTTAGAAATTTACTTATTTTAAATGAGAAAACGGGCGAATTTGTGTCTTTTCGTTCACATAAAGTCAGAAAAAAACAACATATTAATCAAAATGTACATGCATTTATACTAAAGTAATACAAAAATTACAACAAAAGATTTAGACACCAAGGCGCACTACCACAGGCGGGACTGGCCACAGCGGACCGAGTTCTCTGTGGGGAGGAACAACGTCAAGTGGGAGCCACTGGTGGACCCCCGGGAGGTGCTGATGCCACCACTGCACAGCAAATTGGGCCTTAGGAAACAATTTGTCGGAGCTGTAGATAAGGAGTCGGCAGCCTTCAAGTAATAGCCATTTTTTGTACTATTGAGGCATGAGCAATTAGGAAATAACACTTCCCAGGAAAAAAAAAAAACATTTTGTTACACAGTCTCAAGTCGCCGTAAGAAGAGTTTGTGCGGCTTGGGCAGACCCGTCACTAAACTATTTTATTTTACCAGCTCAAGCGCACCGAGCTCTTGGCTGTTTTCTAGAGGCAACCTGGTCACACATGATAGCTTACATAAGCCAAATAATCTAAGCAGATTTGTCTAACTGTGGAGGGCTAAACCGGAGGAACCCGGAGAAAAATCCACACGACCGCCACGGATAGAGAGAGAGAGAACACGCGAACTCCAAATATACAACAACAGGCATCGCCAGGGTCCGGGATCGAACCCACGGGAAGAGAGGTAACATCTCCTCGCCACCGCGGCGTGTCACGACCATTGAAGGGACGGTGTCCGATGGTTAGGAATAAAAATGAAGTGGTAGCCAGGAAATGAGATGTCTGGCCTCCTCCTCCTCCTCCTTGCTGATTGTTGTTGGGTCCAGCAGCTTGCACGAGATATCACGGAAGCGTCGCCTGTGGCTCTTGTCCAGCTGCCAGGCAGCGGCCACTCACCCACTGTAGCTACGGTGGTGGCGGTGGTGGTGGCGATGAAGTAATTGATCCATGTCAATAGCACGTGTTGATGACCACCGCCGAAATGTTTGTAATCTTACAAAAAAGTATTGTTTGCACGTGCCAATATATCGCTCAAATGCTGTCGATTGTATTAATGAGGAATGATGATGTTAATGACGTTATGGACCACGTGCCCCCCCCCCCACCCCCCTTTGGCGTCACAGAGACTGGAGGTGGCGATTGTCACGGACTTCGCCAACTCCGTGCAAAGGATGCGCACGCGGGTATTGGGGGGCTCGGTGCGCGAGATGGGGGGTCCTCGAGAAGAGGGGGGCCGAGCGATAGATGCCGGGAGATCGAAACCAGGAGCGGGAATGGGAGCGGAGCAGGCGGCTGGGTCGAGGGAGCGACCAGAACCACAGTGCCCTGAACACCCTGAACACCCTGAACACACACCCCCACACACACCCCCACACACACCCCCACACACACCCCCACACACACCCCCACACACACCCCCACACCCTGAACACACACCCCCACACACACCCCCACACACACCCCCACACACACCCCTACACACACCTCCACACTCTGAACACACACCCCCACACACACCCCCACACACACCCACACACTCTGAACACACACCCCCACACACACCACCACACTCTGAACACACACCCCCACATACACCCCCACACACACCCCCACACTCTGAACACACACCCCTACACACACACCCACACACACCACCACACACACCTCCACACACACCCCCACACTCTGAACACACACCCCCACACACACCCCCACACACACCCCCACACACACACCCACACACACCCCCACACTCTGAACACACACCCCCACACACACCCCCACACACACCCCCACACTCTGAACACACACCACCACACACACCCCCACACACACCACCACACACACCCCCACACTCTGAACACACACCCCCACACACACCCCCACGCACACCCCCACACTCTGAACACACACCCCCACACACACCCCCACACACACCCCCACACTCTGAACACACACCACCACACACACCCCCACACACACCCTCACGCACACCCCCACACTCTGAACACACACACCCACACACACCCCCACACACACCCCCACACTCTGAACACACACCCCCACGCACACCCCCACACTCTGAACAAACCCCCCCACACACACCCCCACACACACCTCCACACACACCCCCACACCGTGAACACCGTCCCCCACACCCACAACACACACCGCCGCACATCAAACACCCAACCCCACGCCCCATACGCACACCAACACACCACGCTCCCGCACACCCCGAACACACGGGCAGTGGCGACACGCAGCAGAACGATGACGAGGCGGATGAGGTGAACGTGGCGTCACTCGTCACACGGAATGACGATGGTCTAGAGCGGCGAGCCGACACGAGGCAGGACGAGGTTGCCTCATCACGACGGGTAGAAGGAGGAGGAGGAAGAGGAGACCAAGACGGATATTCCCGGGAAGGAGTGAAGCGAATTCTAAAGAGGCAGCCTCTGCCAGCGAAGAGGTATCCCACTTCCTCTTCCACGTCGTCATCATCATCCTCGTGCAGAGTGTTGCAACAACCAATCTGCGATGGTGCGGCGCTGGTCTGCGATCACTCCGCCGTTGATTGTAGCGATTCCGTGATGGTTGTGAACGATCACGCAAAGGCGGACGACAATTCTGGAGAAGTCTGCAATGGTTCTATGATGGTCTCCGATGATTTCGTCGGCAATCGCCGAGACTCCCTGAAGGCCGTCAAATCAAAGGCCCCACATATCGAGGAGGCGCCGGGGCAGGAGAGCAACGCGGAGCTACAGCCAGGATCGGGTCTGGGCCTGGAGCGGGAGCGAGGAGGACCTGGGACGGAGCTGGACGGAAAGCCTGGATTGGAGGTGGAGCAAAAACTTGAGCTGGAAGTGGAGCAAAGACCGAGGATGGACCTTGAGAAAAAATCTGAGGTGGAGTTAGAAACAAAATCTCGGTTGAAAGTTGGGCAAATACCTGGGATGGAGTTGCTGCAAAAACCGGTATTGGATCTGGAGCATAAACCTGAGATGGAGGTGGAGCAAAGACTCCAGGCAAAGTTGGAGAAAACATCTGGGAAGAGGTTGGAGCAGAAACCTGGAATGGAGCTGGACCAAAGACCCGAGATGGAGCTGGGTCGAGGAGGACTGGATCTTGAACTGGAACGAGGAGGCCCTGGGTTGGAGCCAAACTCTTTTCAGAACAACCTCCACCCCGCGGCGCTAATCCCAGCGGCCACCGGTGAGAGTGGAGCGATGCACACAGGGTGCGGATGGATCATGATGATGATGGATGTTGTGGTGATAATTTAGGATGTGATTATTGATGCTGGTAGAAGTAAAACATAGCAATAACTCAATGGGTATTCTTCATCGCGGAGCAATCTATTTTGCGAATGATGGGTGATGATGGGTGATTGATTGCAGTAACGGGAACGGTGACAGTTATATAATAATGACGACGACGACGATGATCGTACGATGACCACGATGATGATGACGACGAATCGGCTTCTCAAACTCAACTCCAGGCTCGTGGGAAATCGCGGAGCTCAGGGAGCTCGTGTTCGGGCCGCAGTACCTGAACCAGGAGCCGAGCCCAGATGCGGAGCGCAATCCGGGCCCACTCCCGATCTCCCGTGGCGGCACCGCCACCACCGCCGCCGGGGCCCTCCCCACGCGGCGCCCTCCGGCCGTGCCCGTCGCGCGCTGGGGGCCGGCGGTGCCCGGCCGGGTCGAGAGCGACGCGGCGGCGATGGGCGAGGGGATGAGACGCCGGGCGCACCGCGCCGTCGTCGTCGAGGGGCTGTGCCCACCGTTCGGGGTGGGCGCCGCGTGCGTCGTCAAGGTCCACAGCGCCCTGGGGGAGGGCGGCCACCCTGGCCCCCAGCTGGTGGAGAGCAACCGCAGGTTGGCGGTGCAGGTGAGAGCGGCAGGGTTCATGCTTGCGCCGCATCATCATCAGCATCATCATCATCAGCAGCGTCGTCGTCGTCGACCTCAGGGATTAATATCGGCCTGTTCTGTCCGATGCAGAGGCGCCAAACATGTGTCCACACCCGGCACACCACATCTGGTATAGCTCTCGCTAAGTCTGTGGCCACGACTTGTCCCTTTCAACCGAATTCAGTCGACCGGCAACCCCGAAAATATTTAGTGAGCAATTCAGCCCACATCTTCATTGTAATTATCATCAGCAAACAGCAGCAGCCATGATCAATCCACTGCTGGATGAAGGCCTCCCTTTACCGCACTGGTCAGTGCAGATTGTTGAAGTTGTGTGGCCCAGGACCAGCTCCGATCCCTGGGCGAAGTTCCCATTGATCACTCACCCCTGATATTTGCCGTGGTCAGGTATCTCCGCTTCATCCATACACATCAGATCTTTGCTTGTAGGATATGCGGTGTCTCTACATGTGTGTGTGTGTGTGTTGCATGCGTATGTGAGCTTGTGTGGGCCTCCCCTAGGTCGACTCAGCCTTAAATGGGTATGATGCGGTGTGTAAACATCAGAAATGGGGAGACAAAGGCGGCTACATCACCCCACTGTGTCGTCCCGGCCTGAACAGGTGCTGGCTAACAACACTTGCCCCAACAGCCTGCTAAAGGCTACACGGGGGGGCTTTGTCTTGTGTGTGTGTGCGAGCAGGAGTGCTGGGTGCAGGGAGCCGCGCGTCAGCTGTGCCGCCGCTTCGCCCTAGAGGCTTCGGCGCTGCCCGGGTTCGGCTCCACTCCCGAGTGAGCGTCGCCACCTCTCAGCTACCTCCTCAGCTACCTCCTCAGCTACCTCCTCATCTACCTCCACAGCTACCTCCTTAGCTATCTCCTCAGCTACCCCTCATCCACGAGGAAACCAATCAACCGACCACCACTGCTATACAATAAAACTTGTAGAGCAGTGGTCCTGTCTCTCTCCTTCCACAAGAATCATCCTCAATCTCCTCTAACTCCACCACCACCACCCCCGTCTCTCTCTCCCCTTACTCCACCACCACCACCCCCGTCTCTCTCTCCCCTTACTCCACCACCACCCCCTGTCTCTCTCTCCCCTTACTCCACCACCACCCCCTGTCTCTCTCTCCCCTCACTCCACCACCACCATCACCCCCCGTCTCTCTCTCCCCTTACTCCACCACCACCACCACCCCCCCCCCCCCCGTCTCTCTCTCCCCTTACTCCACCACCACCACCCCCCCCCCCGTCTCTCTCTCCCCTTACTCCACCACCACCACCACCCCCCGTCTCTCTCTCCCCTCTTACTCCACCACCACCACCACCCCCCGTCTCTCTCTCCCCTCTTACTCCACCCCCACCCCCTGTCTCTCTCTCCCCTCACTCCACCACCCCCCCCCCCCCTGTCTCTCTCTCCCCTTACTCCACCACCCCCCCCTGTCTCTCTCTCCCCTTACTCCACCACCACCATCACCCCCCGTCTCTCTCTCCCCTTACTCCACCACCACCACCCCCCCCCCCCCCGTCTCTCTCTCCCCTTACTCCACCACCACCACCCCCCCCCCCCCGTCTCTCTCTCCCCTTACTCCACCACCACCACCACCCCCCGTCTCTCTCTCCCCTCTTACTCCACCACCACCACCACCCCCCGTCTCTCTCTCCCCTCTTACTCCACCACCACCACCACCCCCTGTCTCTCTCTCCCCTCACTCCACCACCCCCCCCCCCCTGTCTCTCTCTCCCCTTACTCCACCACCACCCCCTGTCTCTCTCTCCCCTTACTCCACCACCACCATCACCCCCCGTCTCTCTCTCCCCTTACTCCACCACCCCCACCACCCCCCCCCCCCGTCTCTCTCTCCCCTTACTCCACCACCACCACCCCCCCCCCCCGTCTCTCTCTCCCCTTACTCCACCACCACCACCCCCCCCCCCGTCTCTCTCTCCCCTTACTCCACCACCACCACCACCCCCCGTCTCTCTCTCCCCTCTTACTCCACCACCACCACCACCACCCCCTGTCTCTCTCTCCCCTCACTCCACCACTCCCCCCCCCTGTCTCTCTCTCCCCTTACTCCACCACCACCCCCCCCCCCCCCGTCTCTCTCTCCCCTTACTCCACCACCACCACCACTACCCCCCGTCTCTCTCTCCCCTTACTCCACCACCACCACCCCCCCCGTCTCTCTCTCCCCTCACTCCACCACCCCCCCCCCTGTCTCTCTCTCCCCTTACTCTACCACCACCACCCCCCGTCTCTCTCCCCTTACTCCACCACCACCATCACCCCCTGTCTCTCTCTCCCCTTACTCCAACACCACCACCACCCCCTGTCTCTCTCTCCCCTTACTCCACCACCACCACCCCCCGTCTCTCTCCCCTTACACCACCACCACCACCACCCCCCGTCTCTCTCTCCCCTCACTCCACCACCACCACCACCACGACCCCCCGTCTCTCTCCCCCGTCCTGCCGCAGGGTCCTCCCGCTGTTCCTGCTGACGCGTCCCGGCCGCGCCGCCGCTCACTCCACCGTGGAGGCGCAGCTGCCGGGACGCTTCACGAAGTACTCCCCTCGCGACGGGAGGGAGCTCAGCGCCGGCGCCGCGGGGGCCCCGAGCGAGGCCGGCATGAAGTGCGTCGCCTTCCAGCACTGGGTGTTCGCACGCTGCGGCGGCTGCCTCCTCGTCACCGACCTGCAGGGTGATTGCGGCGCGGGGGAACAGCGACCGACGCACATGACGACGGCGAGGGCTCGGATTGCTCGGCACGTTCGTCCGTAGCACCGCGTGACCTTGTATAGTGAGGCGACGTTTCGGGCGATGGCCCCTTTCTTCGCCGCGACTGGAGAGGAAGGGAGGGCCCGGCGCGTCGCCACTTTCCCGATTGTTTCCCTTTGAATGGCCCACGGTGGTTGTTGGCTACTGACGGAGGCGTCGCGCTGTCGCGTTGCCTGTGCTTTGTGCGCCGCCGCTGCCAAAACAGCTGTCGACAAATGACGTGAGCCAAAAAGCAGCGCAGGGATGAGCAAAACAATCACGAATAACAATAACAATAGTAAGAGTAAATGAGAAGAGGAAGAGCAGCAGTGTGTCGGGAGATGGAGTGAGTTGGCCCGGGGTAGCGGGCAACCTCGTCGGGTGGGGCAACCACAGTGCCACCTGCCGCGAGTCGCAGGTGGCGGTGGCGTGACTCCTCCGCTTCGCTGCCACCTGGGGGAGAGTCGCAGAGCGGCGGCTGTGGAGCGGATGCCAGAGAGGGGGGCCCGGCTGGGGACGTTTGGACAAGGCGAAGAGAGAGAGGGGGGGGGGGGGCTGTGTGCCCGGTGGGTACCTGGCTCAGCCATGCCCGGTGGGTGCGTGGCTGAGCCATGCCCGGTGGGTAAGTGGCTGAGCCATGCCCACTTAGTGCGTGGCTGAGCCATGTCCACTGGGTACCTTGCTGTGCCATGCCCACTTAGTGCGTGGCTGAGCCGTGCCCGGTGGGTGCCCGTGGCTGAGCCGTGCCCGGTGGGCCCCCGTGGCACGCTGTTCGCTTGTCCTGCCCGTTGTGGCCGCTGGAGTCGAACCGCGGCTACTGGCAGCAGGGGGCGCTGGTTCGTCCACTGAGCGCCTGGTTGTTGATGCTGTGTTGCGTCTGTGGGCAGTGTTAGTCTATAGGCAGTACGTATGCTAAACTTATTTCAGTTTCAGTTTCTTTATTTTGGTATAGCCCTGTGAGCCATTCGGCTCTTGAATCGGGTGCAACCACAACAAACAAAAACACAAAAATACGAACAAGAAAAACATCTTAAAGTGACTTTGTGACTGTGCAAACAGAAAATCCATGAAAAAAACAGCAAAATATTCCTGAAAAAAGCACCGTACACCACCAACGCTGTGTGCAAAAAATCCCAGTGGGATGCAAGTCAAACAACAACCACAAGAAAACTTAGATTAAGGCCATCAGTCTAACTGCGTACTACAACAAAACAAACATGTCCAAACCAAAAAACGTTTTCGAAATCACCAAAAAATAAAGCCATAATTGCAACGTAACAGTGATCACAGGGACTGTGACCGAATTTTTACAATAAACTACATAAATAACATGTAACACCAAATCCTAGAGCCATAGCTGGCTGCATGAGTTACTCCACAACAACAGAAGCATCAGTCGGAGTATCAAATTTTTCAATGCACCTTTAAGATCAGCACGCTAAATAAAAATACAGATAATACTTTGCAGCGTCATCCGGAGTGAAACATTTTATTTTACGCCAATTAATAGCAGTGGCAGCTAGGGGTGTACCGTACGTAACCAACCGTGCTAATCGAAGGTGCAGTGTTGAGTCTATGGGCAGTGTTGAGTTTATGGGCAGTGTTGCGTCTATGGGCAGTGATGAGTGGATGGGTAATGTTAGTCTATGGGCAGTGTTGAGTTTATGGGCAGTGCTGAGTCTATGGGTAGTGTTGAGTTTATGGGCAGTGTTGAGTCTATGGGCAGTGTTGAGTCTATGGACAGTGTTGAGTGGATGGGTAGTGTTAGTCTATGGGCAGTGTTGAATTTATGGGAAGTGTTGAGTCTATGGGCAGTTTTTTTTTCACTTGGAATGGAACTTTTTACAAACAAACTGAGGGCACCCCAATGGGCTCCCCCCTATCTCCGGTTATAGCCAACATTTTCATGGACAAATTTGAGACTGACGCCATCCAGACTGCCACCCGACGCCCGACCTTATGGAAGAGGTACGTGGATGACACTTTTATCATCTGGCCACATGGCCGGCCTGCTCGAGACTAATTCTTCGACCACATCAATTCCATACACCCAGCCATCAGATTTACCATGGAAGTCGAAAAAGATGGCAAGCTACCTTTTTTGGATATCCTAATAAAAAAGAGACGTGATGGTTCAATGAGCCACTCTGTCTACAGGAAAGCTACCCATACGGATGCTTACCTGAAACCGGATTCCCACCACCATCCATCCCAGAAGAATTCCCTCATCAAGACTCTGCACCATAGAGCCCAATGCATATCCGACCAGGAACACATAGCCAGTGAACTCAAGCACGTACACCAAGCTCTTAAGGCTAATGGTTACTCCGACTACACAATCCGCAAAGCTATCACTCCAACGATGAAGAAGGACCCTCTTGAGGAGCCTTTCAAAACCATCACTTTACCCTACATTGCGGGGATCACAAAAAAGATCTCCAAAATCTTGAATAAACACAAGATCCAGGTCGGATTCAACACATTACATAAAATCCGTGATCTGGTTCCATCTGTAAAAGATGGGATTCCGGACATACAGTACCCTGGCGTCTACAAACTAAGTTGCCTCTGTGGTAGTAGTTACATTGGAGAAACCAAACGACATATCTCGGACTGCATTCGTGAACACAAAGCAGACCTAAAACACGGTAGGACCAACACCTCGGCCGTGGCAGATCACTGTTATAATTCAGTAGGCTCACATGACATTGACTTCGCCAAGACAGAGGTTCTTTGCAAGCCATCTGGCTACCATGAGAGATTCGTTCATGAGGCTATCCACATATACAAACGCAGAGACAATTTCAACCGAGAAGATGGATTCTGGCTTAGCAATCATTGGAAGGATTTGATCAACCATTTCGGGTCTTAATTGATTGTTCACGCTTATGGTGGCTTTCAGACCGCATCCATAATTTTCGTCTCCCCCCTCCTTTTTTCCGAACATAGATGGACTCGTCCATCTGAACAAACTGTCAAATCGCTCTCCGTGGTGCTAACGTTAAAAAAACCGCCACTTTTTTCAAAATTTATTGCTGTGGTTTTGACACCTGATGATGATTGCTTGTGTTGCAATCGAAACGTCGTGAGAATTTTATTGTTTTATATTTTTATTATTTTATTGTTTCCCTTCTACGTGACTTTACCGAAAGAACCAAGAATATTTTTCGATTTAAAGCTTTCGTGACTGCAAGGATTCATCTTCTTTGGTTCTTTACCGAAAGAACCAAAGAAGAAAGAACCAAAGAAGATGAATCCTTGCAGTCACGAAAGCTTTACATCGAAATTTAACCGCCTCTACGGGGAGGGATTCCACACAACCTTAAGATCATTCAACAGACTCCGGGATAAGAAGGCTCAACTAATCGAGTCTCTCACCTTTCTGAAGAGATGCCGCGACTCTAAGGCGCTTTGTTTCTTCTCACACAGCTTAAAGGTCGTGATCTGAGCGTGGCTTTTTCACTCCAGCGCTGTCCTCCAGACAGTCTCGTCCCTTCACCTGATGAAGGCCGCTTGTGTTGTGGCCGAAACGTCATGAGAATATTATTGTGTTATTTTATTTTATCAATTTATTATTTTATTCTCATTCTGCGTGACTTTACCGAAAGAACCAAAGAAGATGAACCAATAATATATAATATCTATGGGCAGTGTTGAGTTTATGGGCAGTGTTAAGTTTATGGGCAGTGTTGAGTCTATGGGCAGTGTTGAGTCTATGGGCAGTGTTGAGTCTATGGGCAGTGTTGCGTCTATGGGCAGTGTTGAGTCTATGGGCAGTGTTGAGTCTATGGGCAGTGTTGAGTCTATGGGCAGTGTTGAGTCTATGGGCAGTATTGCGTCTATGGGCAGTGTTGCGTCTATGGGCAGTGTTGCGTCTATGGGCAGTGTTGAGTCTCTGGATAGTGTTGAGTATATGGACAGTGTTGCGTCTATGGGCAGTGTTGAGTCTATGGGCAGTGTTGAGTCTATGGTGCAGTGTTGAGTCTATGGGCAGTGTTGAGTCTATGGTGCAGTGTTGAGTTTATGGGTAGTGTTGAGTCTATGGGCAGTATGTTGAACTTCGTTCGCACCGTACGTAGCCAACCGTGCTAATCGGAGATGTGTCACAGCAAGATTGTTTGGTGTTCCCCTCTCGCGCTGTCAAACCCCCTCCGTGACGTCGCCTCGCCGGTTCTCACCTCGTCGCTCTGCCCGCCTCTGTGTCCGCTGGGCTTCTTAGGAGTGGGTCTGCACCTCACAGACGTCGGCATCGCCACCAGGGACAAGGAGTGAGACCTCTTGCTTCTGCACGCGCGCACACTCACACGTGCACACTCACACGCGCACACTCACACGCGCACACGCATTCACACACAGACTATTGAGAAAAAAAACACAACGTTTAGCCCACACTGGGTATGGGGCCAGTAACCAGCCGCCTTTGTACCCCCAGTGTTGATGTTTACTCACAGTGCCAGGTGCTATTTTATGAGGACGAGTCGACCGAGGGGAAACCCAGGACCGGTTCGGATATTGAACTCAGGTTGCCGGCTTCACAGCCCAGTGCGCTAACCACTACGCCACCGCTCCACCCTCACGCTCCCCAACACACACGTGCACAAACATATCACCCATGCCACCTTTACTGCCTGCTTCGCCTTTACCACCTGTATAACCCCTGCCACCTGTGCCACCTGTACCCGCCACGCGTTATTCAGGTTCCAGGGCGTCCGGGGGAACTTTCCGCCGTCCGTGCTCACCCAGTTCCGCGCGCTGCACGAGTGCAGCCCCTACTGCGCCTTGCTGGGCCTGGGCCCCCTGCGCCGCACCTCCAGGGCACCCCCCCGCACGCCGGCCAGGCTCGCCGCGGCCGGGACCCCCGCGAAGGGACGCGGGAACAGGTTCTGGCCTCTGCCCCTCAAGGTCACCACCCTCCGACGGATGAGCGAGCCGTGACGCGCGGCTTCTCCGGCTCCGCTGGTTCCCAGAACCCCCCCCCACCCCCCGTAACCACCGATCGAGTGAATGGGGGTCCCGGCGTTGTCTCCGAATTGAATGACCGCGGAGTCACGTGCGCGGCGTGGAGAGCGAGCATCCCGTGCACGTCCAGCTGCTCACAGCCCGTGTTGACAATTACAGACGCTGGCATCGACACGAGGGGCTTGTGTTCAACGATTATTGAGAAGCCTCGCATGCAAAATGTCTCGTACATATTTTAAAAAAATATGATTTCATATTGATTTAAAGCTTTCGTGACTGCAGGGATTCATATTCTTGGTTCTTTCGGTAAAGTCACGTAGAAGGGAAACAATAAAATAATAAAAATATGAAACAATAAAATTCTCACGACGTTTCGACTGCAACACAAGCAGTCATCATCAGGTGTGAAAACCACAACAAGAAAATTTGATTTTTTTCTTGCTGTGGTTTTCACACCTGATGATGACTACTTGTGTTGCAGTCGAAACGTCGTGAGAATTTTATTGTTTTATATTTTTATTTTATTGTTTCCCTTCTGTGACTTTACCGAAAGAACCAAGAATATGATTTCATTGTTTATCCCAGTGACGTCATTCCATTGTGTTTCGTGAATGTGCTGTGCCTGGCAAAGATTGTGCTAATCCGTGTTGACGGGATGAAGGCGACACCCGGGGAAATTTGCCTTTGCCATCACGTGAACTGATGAAACACAACCGTGTAATTTGTACATGACAATAAATTAATACGTAACACGTTCAATTCAAAGTAGAAAAGTTACCCTTTGTTCTGAAGCTGACCTCGCATTGAGATTGCTATCTTGCAATAGATCGGTGCTGTTGAAGGCCACTTGCTCCATGAACTCGGTAACTCGAGTTCGATTCCCGACCACGGCTAACATTAGTGGCGAGTGATACCCAAACCAGGTCCTGGGGCCCCACCTTCACCAACCCACACTGACCAGCGCGGTGAAGTATGGCTTAACGTCCACCAACGATCGACGCGACGTTTGGGAGATCTTCATCCAGCAGTGGATTGACAAAGGGGCTGCGAATTCGGGCTGCAGCGACTGTCGAGTTGATAAACAAAACAAATGAAGCGAATGTTTCGTGTTGGGACAACCTCATCGCAATTAACAAGAAGGCCCTCTTATTTACTCGGGAAGGCTTCCACTGAGTCTCGAGACTCATCGTCAAGAGGGTTCCTGCTGCCTGGAGGTGTTTGGCCAATTTAGTGTGAAGCGCTGTGCCCGTAACAGGAAGAACCCGCGAACCCGGAGACAACCCGACTCGCTTCTCGAGGGGACAACACCCCCCACCCCCCCACGCCCCCCCATAAATGTGTCGCCAACCTCTAACTTGGCAGCGCTGGCACCACCTCGCAGCCACCTCGCTTCCCGGCACGATCTGGGATCGTCTGGCGCTCGGCCACGTTCGGCGGTGGCCTCCTTCGCGACGGCCACCTCGCTCGGATCGCCGGCGCCTCTGCTGACAGGGCTGGGCTGGGGGGTGGTGGTTCGGGGGGTGAGGGTGGGGTGGTCGCCTATTGCACAGATAACAAACAAAGCTGTGGAATCTCCGTGTGATCGCTCAGGGCCCCGTGCCGACCACGGGGAGACCCCGGGGCCGCGCGGCGTCTACGCAGCGGACAAAGTCCGCCCCGGGTGGGGGGGGACGACACGTGGCCGGCATCACGCTCCTCTCGCAGCCGACTCCACAGCTCCCTCCTCCTCCAGTCTAGAGTGACGACCTCACCTCTTCATAGAACTGCTCGTTGTTGTTGCGTAGTTTGTTGTCCTTCGCCCGCATCTCCGATTATCGCGGTTGGCTTCGTACGGTGCGAAAGAAGTTCAACATACATACGTACAGTCACACACAAGCACTCCTCTATCCTGCTCCACTCTGCTGTACTCGCCCGCTGGACTGAACTCTCTCCTCTTATCAGCTTCCAACAACGCCGCTTCTCTCTCCTCTAGTCCACCACATACTGATCGACCCTACACGTGACTCTAGTCACACTACTCTACACTACACACTACTCTACACTACTCTACACCACACACTACTCTACACTACACACTACTCTACACTACACACTACTCTACACTACACACTACTCTACACTACTCTACACCACACACTACTCTACACTACACACTACTCTACACTACACACTACTCTACACTACACACTACTCTACACCACACACTACTCTACACCACACACTACTCTACACACTACACTACACACTACACTACACACTACTCTACACTACAAACTACTCTACACTACTCTACACTACACACTACTCTACACCACACACTACTCTACACTACACACTACTCTACACTACAAACTACTCTACACTACTCTACTCTACACACTACTCTACACTACACCCCACACTACTTTACACTCCACACTACACTACACCCCACACTACACCACACACTACACCCCACACTACACCCCATACTACTCTACACCCCACACTACACCCCACACTACACCCCGTACTACTCTACACCCCACACTACTCTACACTACACCCCACTCTACTCTACACCCCACACTACACTACACCCCACACTACTCTACACTACACCCCACACTACACTACACCCCACACTACTCTACACCCCACACTACACTACAGCCCACACTACTCTACACTACACCCCACACTACCCTACACCCCACACTACACTACACCCCACACTACACCCCACTCTACTCTACACCCCACACTACCCTACACCCCACACTACACTACACCCCACACTACTCTACACTACATACCACTCTGTACTCCACTCAAGGGGCTGAGTGAATGGTCGAGCGGAATTAGAACTCGCGACCTCCGGATCGCGTGTCCAGCTCTGCCCAACGCGCCACGTGGCTGCACGCGATGGACGGAACCGAGCGTATTTGGGGCCAACGCTACAATGTCACGACTCGACCACCACGTACAGCTGATGAGACGATGCGTGTCGAAGCCGCCCCGGAGATGCGCTCGTCTTGAAACGGTGCTGCTGAAGTTACTCACTCCCAGAAGACCGCGCGTGTGCGGCTGATGGGCTTTGCAAGAAAATATTTTTTTATTATTTTCGTTTTACGCGGAGAGACGAATACGTGAAGGAGGCATTGGGAACAGCAACAGAGCTGCGTTATAATGGCTTGAAAAGAAAACACGTATATAACGGGCGACGTTCCAGGCAATGATCCTTCTTCACAGCACACAGAGAGGTCTCTGAATGTAAAATGCTTGTACGCGTGTCTTTACGTGTCGGCCCATGCAGGTGTCACTCGCCACCCTGGACCCCCCGTGCAAGCGAGATGTTCCGTCTCTACGCTCCGAGTTTCTACGTTAAATATTCTCATCAATAATTAACAAACAATACAATTCATCAACTCCGGCTCCTGCAGAAATCACCACGACGCCTGTAGCACGAATCGAACCGTGAACTCGTTCCAAACCGGCTCAGCGGCGAATATCGATCACTGCTAAAACTCCCGACGGCTGAACAACGACACCATCGATGACGACGATGTCGACGATGACGAGGAGGAGGGGAATCCGTGCCGGGGCTGCGTGGTGTGAGGATGGCGTTTGGACGCAGACGAGAACGCAAACACCATAGTCACACTCCACAGCCACGCCAGGGAGCTCTGTGCGTCAAGCTCGTATGCAGGGTGCCATTGTGCAGGGTGCCCTGTGTGCAAGGCGTTCTGTGCAGGGTGCTCCTGTGCAGGACGCTCTTTGCAGGGCGTTCTGCGCGGGGTGTTCCTGTGCAGGGCGTCCTTGTGCAGGGCGTTCCCGTGGACGGCGTTCTTGTGCAGGGTGCTCTGTGCTGGGTGCTCTGTTTTCTCAGTGCAAGGTGTACTGATGGTGGTGGTGCTGATGGCAACGATGATCGTTATCGTGGAGGTAGCGGTGCTGCTGGTGGTGGAGCTGGTAGGTGCGGTGGTGGTGGTGATGGTGGTGATGGCGGTGATCGGGCTGAGGATCTCTGGTAGAGGTTGGCCGATTCTCGACCGGACGATTCCATCCATGGCCACAAATCTACGCGCTATTCACGTGAACCAATTACCTACTACGTTTATGAATAGAAAAAAAGTCGATTATCACGCACGGTTGTATCGTGAACCTACCGATCAATATTCATCGATCATTCGATGCATCATTGCAGCTCTTGTCACAATGGATGACTAAAGGAGGGCGAAGGTGGAGGATGGAGGCAGGGGATGAGGGGTAGAGGGAGGTGAGGGTGGCCTTTGGAAGAGGGAGCTGAGCGAAATGCATTGTTCGAGGTAGGGGGAGGCGTGGGGGAGGAGTGGTGGGTCAGGGATGAGGCAGGGTCAGGGGTTGGGATTTTTTTTATCAGAGTGTGTGGTTACGTTGCTCTATGTTTACACGACGATGTTGCTGATGATGTTGGAGAGGACTCGATGTCACATCAGCTACGGCACGACCTGATCATAGACACACACAGACAAAGACACACACACACAAAGTCAACATGCAGAGGGACACAAACACACTCAGCGCTAACAACACCGCGCGCGTAAGCAGGGACACTCGGAAATTGAACGCAGTCTCTTGCGGCAAGCGATGTTAGCGAGCGTCTATTTAGGGCGACACGAGAGCATGGTTTTGGGCTGTACCAGGTCGGGTCGCCTCTGTCTCCCCAGGACGGGATTTATACACTCCACATCCGGTGAGGCCGACTCATGCTTAGGGCTTAGTCGACCTTAGGGCTTAGTCGACCCAGGGGAAGCCTTGGACCGGGTCCGATATACGCCACTGATGTTAATCGTGGTTGGGAATCGAACCCCGGGTAGCCGGCATCGTGGCGCGGTGCTCTAAACCCCTATAGGCTCAGGCCAGAGACAAAGATGCCCCCGTATAGCATTGACAGACGGTTGGGGCAAGTTCGCAAGCAGCACCTATGAAGGTCGGCACGGCGTGGCCAGCAACACGCCCCGCCAGTTTGATCTCCACAATGGAGATGTTTACGCACTGAGAGTTCGATTCCCGTCCACGGTTAAAAATTGGTGGCGAATATCTGCATGAAGCGGTCGTTGGCCTCTTCGAGGTCGACTCAGCCTTAAATGAATACCACGTGCCAACAGGCATTGTCGGGTGTCAATGCGAAACAGAGTTTGGTGATAGCGCGAAGTCATTATCGAGTGGACTTTGTGAGCCCATTCCTCCACAGCCCAAACCGTTTTTTTTACTCAACCCGGGGTAATCCGTAACCCACTGCCAAAGGTCATAGGGTCAGATCGACATCTGCAAATTATTCAATGACAAAGATGAGCATTTATAAATCGTTATTACACAAGACAGATGTACAAACACAGAGACCTGCAAACACACAAACACGTAGACATCGACGTGTACAACGCAAGACGGACAGCCCTCGTGTGGTCACTTAGACACTGTAGGGGGGCAAGTGCTGGTAGCGAGCACCTATGAAGGCCGGCACGGCACACGAGGGGGTGGGTGGCCAGCACCACGCACGGTCGCCTTTGTCTCCCTAGTGGCGATGTTTTACACTCCGCACCAGGTACTCATTTGAGGCTGAGTGGACCCAGGGGAGGCCCGGGACCGATTCAGAAAATCGTCACTAAATGTTGGCCGTGAGCGGGAATCGAACTTGGGTCGCCGTGTTCGTAGCGCAGCGCGCTAACCGCTACACTACCGCGCACACACACCACACACATCACACACACCACACACACACACCACACACATCACACACACCACACACATCACACACACCACACACACACACCACACACATCATACACACCACACACACACCACACACATCACACACACCACACACACACACCACACACATCACACACACCACACACACACCACACACACCACACCACACACACCACACACACACCACACACACCACACACACCACCCACGTAACTTTACGAACCTTCATGGTGCAATAACCCCAATGATCCGACGCGGCGGGGGAGGACCGCCATCTAGCAGTGGATTGACAAAGGGCTGCACTTGCGCACGGTATCGACTGAAGGGAAATATGCACAGCAACAGCGACGTACAGACACGTGGACACACACAGACGCAAAGACAGACATTTACAGATGAATACATGCTTAGGCATACGCCTACTTCATTCACAAGTGGACAATTATATGCACATGCGCGTACAATATCAGACGTTCATTATTATATACAGATACACAGACGTAAAACAAGGCAAAGATCCCCCGTATAGCCTCGAAGAGACTGTCCGGGCAGGTACGGCACACGATGGGTGGCAAAACACCACGCCCGAGTGGCGACTTTTACACACCGCATCAGGTTCTGAGCTCATTTGAGAACGAGTCGTAAGGGAGTTCTAGGACCGGTTCAGGTTATTGTCGCCGGTGTTGGCCGGGAGCGGGAATCGAACTCGTGTCGCTGGGTTCGTAGCGCAGGTGGCTAAGCGCTAACCGTTGCGCCACCGCTCCCCACACACACGCACACAGACGCGTACACACACGACGCGTTCACCGAGACAGATAATCACTCGCGCACACAAAAAAATACAAAGATCCGCCTTGTAACTTGAAGTGCTGTTCGCGAGCACCTATGAAGGCCGGCACGGCGCACAAGGGGGTGGGTGGCCAGCCCCATACCCGGCCGCCTTTGTCTTCCTCCAGATACACGCACTCTCAGAGACACGCACCGTCTCCGACTCACGCGCACGCGACTCCGTCACTCTCTCACACACAAGGACAAAGATTCCCCGTATAGCCTTCAACAGACCGTTTGGGGCAAGTGCTGTAAGCGAGCACCTGTGGCACGGCACGCGAAGGGTTTGGTGGTCGGCACCACGCCCGGCCGCCTTTGTCTCCCTGGTGGCGATGTTGCCACATCGCGCAGACACACACGCACACACATGACACAGACACAACACGAACATCACTCGCGCGCACACGCGTACCTGGAGTTCATCCCCGCTCCACCGCTGCCATCAAAACTCAAAGTCCGACAGACGCCGATGTCTCTCACCCGCTCTCCTCCACCACCACCACCAACCCCGATCTTCTCCCTAGCCCCCGACTCCCCCTACACATCTCCCCCCACCCACCCCCCCCCCCCCCCAATCGCCTCTAACAATGTAACAATTCCGCAGGGGGAGAATCTGTTTCGCGTGCACCACTCATGTCGCTAACTCGCCGCAGATGTCACCACGAGATGGCTCCAGCGACGTCGGGACCGCGCGAGTCGGGGGAGCGAAGGGCGACGGTTCGGCCCCGTGCCCGCCGACTACATGGCGTGGTGTGGGGGGAGGCGTGGTGTGGGGGGAGGGGTGGTGAGGGGGGGGCGTTGAGGGGGCGTTGGGGCCGCTTATCAAGGCCAATATTGACTTTGCCCCACTGTCGCTGGCCGCGCGGGATCGATCGAGCAGTGGTGGGCAGCCCGGAGGGGCGGCGGTGGGCAGCGAGGTGGGGGGGGGCATGGGGTGGGGGGTCCCATGGGCGGGGGGGGCGGGGTCTGCGGGGGGGGGACAGACTGATAGCTGCGATGCCTGTACGGGATAGAGGTTGTGTAAGTACGTGTGTGTGTACGTGTGTGTAAGTACGTGTAAGTACGTGTGTGTGTGTAGTGTGTGTGTGTAAGTACGTGTAAGTACGTGTGTGTGTAAGTACGTGTGTGTGTGTAAGTACGTGTGTGTAATTACGTGTGTGTGTAAGTACGTGTGTGTGTGTAAGTACGTGTGTGTGTAGTGTGTGTGTGTAAGTCCTCCCCTAGGTCGACTCAGCCTCAAATGAGTACCTGGTGCGGTGTGTAAACATCGCCACTAGGGAGACGAAGGCGGTCGGGCGTGGTGCTGGCCACCCACCCCCTCGTGTACCGTTCCGGCCTTCATAGGTGCTTGCTAACAGCACTTGCCCCTACAGCCTGTTAGGCTATATGGGGGATCTTTGTAGTGTGTGTGTGTAAGTACGTGTAAGTACGTGTGTGTGTAAGTACGTGTGTGTAAGTACGTGTATGTGTGTAAGTACGTGTGTGTGCGTGTACGTGTGTGTGTAAGTACGTGTGTATGCACTGCATGAGGTGAGCGGTGGCGCAGTGGTTAGCGCGTTGCACTACAAATCCGGCGACGAGTTCGATTCCGTTTCACGGTCAACACCAGTGACGATTTTCCGAACGCGGTCCTGGGCCTCCCCTAGGTCGACTCAGCCTTAAACGAGTACCTGCTGGAGTGCGTGAACATCAGCATTGGGGAGACAAAGGCGGCCGGGCGTGATGCTGGCCACCCACCCCTTCGTGTGCCGTGCCGGCCTTCATAGCTGCTACTCGCTAACAGCACTTGCCCCAACAGTTTGCTGAGGCTATACGGGGTATCTTTATCATTGTACCGCATGTCGTGCCAGTACTTGTAAGTACACGGATGGGTTCGGGTTAGTTGGCCGTACTGCGCGCGACGTGTAGCCTCAAAGCTGGCCGACAACACCTGGGCTACTGCACGTGGGGATCACCCATGCCGAGAATAATCCACGCTCAAAATCGTGCTCGGCTACCGAGATCTGTCGAGCTCGGCGCATTCCGAGTTGTTTGTCAGAGGCCACTGTGCCCACGCGCGTGCGTCGCGATGCGTGCGCGTGTCACTGTGTGTGTGGGGAGCGGTGGTGCCGCGGTTAGCGCCACGCTGCGCTGCGAACCCGGCGCCCCGAGTTCGATTCCCGCTCACGGCCAACACCGGTGACGATTATCTGAACCGGGTCCTGGGCCTCCCCTAGGTCCACTCAGCCTCAAACGAGTACCCGGTGCGGTGTGTAAATGTCACCATTGTGTCGGCACAATGGCCGGCCTTCTTTTGTACGATTCGCTAACAGCACTTGCCCCAACAGTCTGTGAAGGCTATCAGGGGGCTATTTGCCTTTGTGTGTGTGGGCTATCAGGATGGCTTGGGTCACCTGGGAGCGGCTCCCCTCCCTCCCCTCCTGCTCCCCACCCCCGCCCCGCGCTGGAACCGGGATCGCTGAGAGAGGCGCTTTGGTGCCGCCGAGCACTGAGACTCCGAGTGAGGGGCGCCCACTGAATGCTGCGAGTCGGGGGTCGGGGTGGCGATGGTTTGACTTGGTTCATAGCGGGCTCGTGAAAGGGGGAGCCATAGAAGCCGGAGCGTAGAAGTGCAGTACAACAATTATATAAATATGGCTGCGCTGCCTTCTTCTGAGCCCCACGCTGTCCGATAGCCGCCTATGCCCCCCACCCCGCCCCCCATGATCCGATCGAAATCACTAATTTCGATCGGATCATTGGGGTTTATTAGTAATAAATCGGCATTTCGCGACCCCCACTGCCACTGGTGTAGCATATTACTACGTGCCAGGGACTCTATGAGATGATAGGACAATAGTCTGAGTCCATAATTAGCAATAAGTAACGGCAAAGCAGTTATAAGTGACTCAGAATTGTGCGCAGTTGCGTATAGAGTACACGACTTCCCCGAAGGCATCAACACCTTCAGCGAGCGCGGTGCCGATCACACAACGCGGTTCCATTTCGACCCTCGATCGATGGCTGCCCCATCGCCACACACGCGTCGAATAAAACACAAGGCACAAGTCCTTACTTACTATCAAGTCCTTACATACTAACAACTCCTTACATACTAACTCCTTACTAACAACTCCTTACTTACTAACAACTCCTTACTCACTAACAACTCCTTACTTACTAACAAGTCCTTACTATCAACTCCTTACTTACTAACAACTCTATCATTTTCATTGCTGGAGGGATTGCCCCCCCTACCTGAAAATCCTGGCTCCGCCATTGCCCCCATCCACCCACCAACCCCCCCACCAACCCCACCCCCCACCCACCTCAGGTTGATAGCCGCCTCGCGTGGATTCTCACTCGGCGCAGGATCTCGGCAGCGCCGGGCTGTCTCTGACATGGCCGTTGTCAAGCGACCGTCATCCTCTCTGACCTCTCTGACCTCTCTGACCCCTCTGACCTCTCTGACCCCTCTGACCCCTCTGACCTCTCTGACCCCTCTGACCCCGAGATGCGCGACGTTGCCGAAGTCGCCCCGCGCGCTCGCGCCGCTGTTGATTCGCCGGGGGCAAAATCCACGGGGCCGAGACCCCGAGAGCCCCCCCCCCTGTTCCGTGATAGCGCGGACCCGTGCCCTGTCCATCCCTCCACCTCGTTACTCATTAACGAGGGGCGGAGGACGAGGGGAGGGTGGGAGGGGGGCGAGGGAGAGGGTGGCGGTGGGGGCGTAGGTGGTACCGCACGAGTGTCAAACAGGGCCGGATTAACATTGTGTAGGCCCCTGGGCTACAGGAACTGTGAGGCCCCTGGGCTACAGGTACTGTGAGGCCCCTGGGCTACAGGTACTGTGAGGCCCCTGGGCTACAGGTACTGTGAGGCCCCTGGGCTACAGGTACTGTGAGGCCCCTGGGCTACAGGTACTGTGAGGCCCCTGGGCTACAGGTACTGTGAGGCCCCTGGGCTACAGGTACTGTGAGGCCCCTGGGCTACAGGTACTGTGAGGCCCCTGTGCTACAGGTACTGTGAGGCCCCTGGGCTACAGGTACTGTGAGGCCCCTGGGCTACAGGAACTCTGAGGCCCCCCCAGTAATATTTTCCAAAGGAAAACAAAGTTAAAGAAAAATAAAATGTATTTTTACGAGGCTAACAACAAATACAATTCAGCATTCACAAGTGAAATAACTTTTAACTTAACCTCTGGAGGCCCTCCAGCTGGCAGAGGCCCCTGGCCTGCAGCCCCTAAAGCCCCGTGCCTGAATCCGGTTCCGGTGGCAAGGGACTGAATCAGAATCCGATGAGCTATTAAGCTCTTCTTCACCGATGTCGAGTAGTCACTGAGTTGGGGTCGGGGCGGCGGGGGGCGTGAACACGAGATTCAAGCATTTCAGGCCCCCCACTAAAATCTGCGTGGCCAACCCAGTGGGGGGTGGGGGGGGGGGCACACGACTGCAGACTCTTCCCACGTGACAGCCAAGACCTCTGTGCCCCCTCATCAGCGCGCGCTGCCTCCGCGTCCCAATGAGGTCGATCGGCCACCCGGAGACGCTCATCTGAACGTGCCACCTGTCACAGGATACCCCCTTGCATGCCGTGCATCATCATCACCACCACCGTCATCAAAGTATCTTCATCATCCGCTGCTTGCTGCTGCAATGGGTTGTGCAAGGATGCGCTTCAGGAGGTTGTGGCCCCGGAAGCTTTGCGGGAGATCGCAGGCAGGGAGAGATCTCCCGCGTCGCCGCCGACTGTGTTTGAAAGTTTAAACAACAACAACAACAAACAACAACAACAATATCTCCGGCGGTGTGCGCAGACTTGGGGTGGGCCACCCAAGAGCGGAACCATGGCACGTGCGACGGCCCCGATCAGCGGCCCGAGCCACAGACACGAGGGTGCAGTTTAACACGTGGGCTTTCGCGACTGGCTGTCGCCTGATGAAGCCAGTTGTAATTACTGGCGAAACGTCGTACCCAAGATTGTAAATGTTGTGGCTTGGCTCTCCAACACACCGGTGTGCTGTACTCGTGACGAATTGGCCACGTTCTGTTTACGTGACAACCCTTACTAGTTGGCTGTGTCGGGTGGTGGCGGGTTTTCACGACACATTTATATATTTACGCGATCTAACAACCCCCCATCACCCCCACCGTCCTCTATTATGGACGGGGGTGATGCGGGCTATCGTCGCAGCGACAACGGCGCACCACGCCTCGCTATGCTCCCGAGCGCAGAGCGGCTGGCACACGAACCACCTGGACGGGAATGTCGCAGCTGATGGTCCGCCAACGTGAGCCGCGCGGCGACGGAACGAGAGCGGACACCCTGAGCCACGTGCCGCCAATCGTCGTCGGCGGAGTGAGCGTGTGTCAAGGCCGACGGGGTGGGCGAGTGGCAGTGCAACGGTTGGCGCTCAGCGCAACCCGGGTTCCATTCCCGTTCACGGTCAACACCAGTGACGGATCATCCGAACCGGTCCTGGGCCTCTCCTAGGTCGACTCGGCCTCAAGTTAGTACTTGGTGCCGTGCTGAAACGTCGCCACTCGGGAGACAAAGGCGTGGTGCTGGCCACCGACCCCATCGTGTGCCGTGCCGGCCTTCATAGGCGCTGCTCGCTGACAGCACTCGCCCCGACAGTCTGTTAAGACTGTCGGGGGATCTTTCCTTTACCCCCCGTCTCCACCACGAACAACCCAGGCTGCAGGAGGCGCTGCTGTCACGAGTGAATCGGGATTCGTGTGGCAATAGGCGCAGCCACTGCAATTTCTCACTCAAGCCACTGCTGGCGGAAGGGAACTCCGCCTCGGGAGCCTGCTCGAGAGGGGGGGGGGGACTTTGGCCTCTTCTTCCACGCTGGCCACGCGTCCTGTATGGGGAGCGACTACCCACACTTTAGCCCTTCAGATGAAGGCAAGAGATATGTGGATGGCATTAATCAAGGCACCGTTCCGGCCTCGCGTCACACCTGGTTACCACTCGTGTCTCACAACAAGGACGCATGGGTTCGATTCCCGACTCGGGCGTCTTTGTGTAAGCGCTGCCCCCTCTTCTGCATGGATGCAAACTCATTACCAATTTTCTCAAAGCATCTTAATATGGTGTAGGAAGGCAGAGCTCGGGGAAACTGTTGGTAGCCCTGGCTTACCACGGTCTGGCTGCCGTTGCTGCTGCAGCCTTCCCACTCACGCACGTGACTCCCCCGGCGATTGTGAGCGACACAGTCTGCACGGACGACTACTACGCTTGGTAAACGTCACTATTAATCGGCAACAACAATAACAACACACGGACACGTCCCCTTTGTTCTTGCGGTAAGAATGTAATTTGGCCAGCGAGACGCTGCCGTCAGGGTCATTTCTACAAAATTCCACTCTGTGTCTGACGACCATAGCAGCTGCAGCAGCTGCAGCAGCAGCAGCAGCATGTTCACCAGTTACACAGCGTGTGGTGGTTCCGCTGTGAGGCCTGGTGGTGGTGGTGTTGTGGTGGTGGTGTTGTTGTGGTGTGTATAGATGCATAGTGCGGTACGGTAGTGTAGCGGGTAGCGCTACGCTGCGCTACGAACCCGGCGACCAGAGATCGATTACCGCTCACGACCAGCACCAGTGACGGATTATCTAAACCGGTCCTCCCCTAGGTTGACTCAGCCTCAAATGAGTACCTGCTGTGGTGTGATAACATCACCACTGGGGAGACAAAGGCGGCCGGGCGTGGTGATGGCCAACCACCCCGCGTGTACCGTGCCGGCCTTCATAGGTGCTCACTAACAGCACTTGCCCCCAACAGTCTGTTCAGCCTATACGAGGAATCGTTGTCTTTATATATTTAGTGCGCGCGTCGGTGCATAGAAAATACTTTCTCGGTAAAATATTGAAGGGGCATTGTCTCTGTCTCGCCCCGGTTAGCGTAACACACAATGCCGAACAATCTCCTGCTCAGCTCAACCAGAGTCTACTGCTTGGAACAATACAGGTGTGTGTGTGTGTGAGTACCAGGTGTGTGTGTGAGTACCAGGTGTGTGTGTGTGAGAGTACCAGGTGTGTGTGTGTGAGTACCAGGTGTGTGTGTGAGTACCAGGTGTGTGTGTGTGAGAGTACCAGGTGTGTGTGTGTGTGTGAGAGTACCAGGTGTGTGTGTGTGTGAGAGTACCAGGTGTGTGTGTGAGATTACCAGGTGTGTGTGTGTGTGAGTACCAGGTGTGTGTGTGTGTGAGTACCAGGTGTGTGTGTGAGTACCAGGTGTGTGTGTGTGAGTACCAGGTGTGTGTGTGTGTAAGTACCAGGTGTGTGTGTGTGTGTTGAGTACCAGGTATGTGTGTGTGAGTACCAGGTGTGTTTGTGTGAGTACCAGGTGTGTGTGTGAGTACCAGGTGTGTGTGTGTGAGTAGCAGGTGTGTGTGTGAGTACCAGGTGTGTGTTTGTGTGAGTACCAGGTGTGTGTGTGAGTACCAGGTGTGTGTGTGAGTAGCAGGTGTGTGTGTGAGTACCAGGTGTGTGTGTGAGTAACAGGTGTGTGTGTGTGAGTACCAGGTGTGTGTGTGTGAGTACCAGGTGTGTGTGTGTGTGAGTACCAGGTGTGTGTGTGTGCGAGTCACACGTGGGTGACAGTGTTACACTTTACACAGGTGTTCGTCATACAAGTTGTACGTGACAGGTGTGTTCTGCGGGATTTATACGGTCACGGGCCTGACACAGGTGAGTGCGACAGGTGTTCTGTGGGAGTTATATGGTTATGGGCCAGACACAGGTGAGTGTGTTTGTCAGGTGTGTCTGCAGGTGAGTTATATGTTAATGGTATTGGCAGGTACGCGACACAGGTGTGTGTGCGAGGAGTGCGTGGGGCGCTAGTCCAGGTAGGACTGCAGGGTTCCACGGCGGCGAACGTCACTCGTCCAGCAGTGGAAGCCACCACCCAGCGAGTTGGCATGACGAATGTTCACCTTCACTGGAGTGATGCCTGCACAGGGAGGAGGAGGAGGTAATAAAGAATGAGGAGGACAGTGACGAACATTGTCAATCTTGCAATTGGCTCCCAAATCAATCCTGAATTAATTCAAGATCACATCCAGGATTATTGATGGCTTCGTCCCTACCTGCCTCTCCCCTCTCATCTCACTCTACTCCCCTCCATGCACTCTCCTACCTCTCCCCTCTCATCTCACTCCACTCCCCTCCACGTACTCTCCTACCTCTCCCCTCTCATCTCACTCTACTCTACTCCACGCACTATCCTGCCTCTCCCCTCTCATCTCACTCCACTCCCCTCCACGCACTCTCCTACCTCTCATCTCACTCTACTCCCCTCCACGCACTCACTCGCCGCTCCCCTCTCACGCGCTCTCATGCTCCAACAAAAAAGGCTTCGTGTCGATGCCCCCACTCAACCCTCCCTTTCCCCCTAATCATCAGTCATTAATAACTTCAACATCTGAACATATTGCCAAAAATAGACTCTTCGACATCTTGGTCATTATCTTCGACATTATCCTCCCTAATCACCATGTTCATCATCTCGGTCATCATCGTCGTCACCGTAGTCGCCGTGTGTGCGTAACAGCGACCGCCTGTGCTCCAGGAGCTAACGCGATGGAATACCTAAATTACCGGCGAAATATTTCCCACCGACGAAATAAAGGCGACAAAAAACGTCGCGGCTCCTGCGCTCACCGAGGTTCATGAACATCTTCTGGATGGAGGTCTCAGCCGCCTCCACCAGGACGCGTTTCTCGTCCAGCATCAGCACGTTCATGGACAGCCACTTGGAGGACATCCACAGCGGGTGGTCTACGGCGCGCGCCACGCACAGGGAATGCCGAGGGAGGGGAGGTGAACACCAGGGGGGAGGGCGAGGGCACGGCGCCGTTATCTCCGTGCTCTCACGAGCGACGTTAGCGCCACCGGTTGGTGACTACGCACGAGGGCCTCGAATCCAGAAGTGTGGAGGCGAGGGGTTTTTGGTGGATCACATAAATGTCGGGAAACTCCCTTTCCATGGGCCACGAGCAGTCAGCTGTGCCCTGGCTCGCTGGGAGAAGTCGGCGCGGCAAAAAATGTGGACTCTCATCTGTTCCGTTGGTATGGAATCGAGTGTTGCCCCCTCTCCAGGCAGTCCGGTTTTCTCGCACATGTAAACACTCATCAATTGGCCGACAACACCTTCGTATATGGAGGACCACAGAGCTCGGGGAATTGTTGGCGCCGACTCGCCGCATGGCTGCCGCCTCCCTGCCGGTCTGTTAGTCTGAGTCGACCTAGAGGAGGCCCAGGTCAGGTTCGGATAACACGTGCCACTGACGTTGGCCGTGGCCAGGAATTTAACTCGGGCTCGCTGAGATCGCAGCGCCGCCTCTCCACGCGCACACGCGCCCAGCGTAATCCCGGCACAAAAAATAAAAACATTCAGAGTCTGAGCGAGCGCCGGGGATCCGTACCGTCAGGGATGAGCGGAGTTGGTGGAGTCACCACCGTCCACCCGGCTCTCTTGAACGTGTCGATCTGCGGGGACAGCCACCTCACATGACGTGCTTCGATCCACTCGCGGTCGACGCCCTTTGTCGTCCACCCAACTCGTCCACCCAACTCGTCCACCCACGCATCGATCCACCTGCCCACTCATTCACCCATTATCGTCTGCCCGCTATTCCCCTTATCCACATTCTCATCCACTCTCTCATCCTCACGCTCTCGCGCTTATCCACTCTGCCATCCACCCACCCACTCATCCGTCCATCTGCTCACTTCATCCACCCATTCATCCGCTCACCCACCCACCCACCTACCTGCTCAATCCTTCCAGCCATCACTCATCTTTCTGTCCATCCACCTATGTGCCCCCTCCCACCCCCCCCCCGCCCCCCACCTGCAGGCAGGGCCGGTCCGGGTTGGAGAGCACAAGGCCCGGGCCGATGATGTTGAAGGTGGCGTCGATGTGCATGGGGTTGGGATCCTTGAAGGAGATGGTGTGCACGCGGTACGTGGGCGCCAGGTGCCGCCGCATCCACTCGATCCCAAAGTAGTTGGTGACCTGAGTGACGAGCGGAGGGGGGGGGGGGGGCGAGGTGTTGACTCCCTCGCCTGGTATGCAGGAGGTCGTGGGTTTAATCCCGACCCTGACGCCTGCTGCTGCTGTATATTTTGAGTTTGCGTGGATTTTTCTCCGGGTCCTCCGGTTTTTCCCTCCACGTTTATAATCAACGTCACGCGTTCGGAGGATTTGGCTGCTCGTGAATGAATTTCCACGCGATAAACCACCTTCATTGAGCTATTGGTGATAGCCACGTCGCTTATGTGGGCCTTACCTGGTCAAAAAAAAAAGTTTAGTAGTAAATAGGGAGCAATATTTCAGCCACGGCTCTGCCCGGAACGAACCACCCACCACCAGACCCCAACCGCCCCCTCCCCCGCGATTGCACGATGACATTTTAGGAATGGATTGAGAAAAGGAAGCAGTGGGGGATCGGGGGAGCAGGGAGGAACCGGAGTGTCTGGGGATGATGGGGGGGTCAGAGAGTGCAAGCGGAACAGGGAGAGCAAGAGGGTCATCGGGGGGTAGGGGGGAACTGGGGAGAGTATGACGATCAGGGGGATATGGGGGGGGGCACGGGGGATCTGGGGGGGTCAGGGGATCTAGGGGGGGTCAGGGGATCTAGGGGGGGGGGTCAGGGGATCTAAGGGGGGTCAGGGGGATCTAGGGGGGTCAGGGGATCTAAGGGGGGTCAGGGGGATCTAGGGGGGGGGTCAGGGGATCTAAGGGGGGTCAGGGGGATCTAGGGGGGTCAGGGGGATCTGGGGGGGGGTCAGGGGATCTGGGGGGGGTCAGGGGATCTAGGGGGGTCAGGGGGATCTGGGGGGGGTCAGGGGATCTAGGAGGGGTCAGGGGGGATCGGGGGGAGGGGGGTCACCTGGCTGCGCTGCACAAAGATGTCGCGGCCGGCGCGGATGAAGTCGGCAGCGTCGAAGCAAGGCTCGAACTCCGTGGTGACGAACTTCCCCTGCGCCGCCAACTTGTGGCGGTCCTCCACCGTGCGGATCGGGTAGTCCTGCACGAGGGGGGGCGGGGGGTCAGTGTGGAGGGATGAGGTGCAGGCCAGGAGAATTATTAATATACTATACTGTACATATCATAAAAAATATAATGATTGGTCAGCTTGTTGCATGGCCACGCGCGGATTTCCTATTCACCTGGGCACACACCATCTCGCCTCGTGGTACAGCCGCTCACCTGATGCTATACCTCACCTGGTCGTACACGCGGTCGTCTAGATGTTGATCTGCTGACCTCAACTGCTCGCACACCTCATCACCTGCATCCCTGCTCAAACACCTGGTCACACACCTCCCCACCCTGCTCGGTTCACCTGGCCACACACCTGCCCACCTGGTCACACACCTACTCACCCTGCTGGCTCACCTGGTCACACACCTGCCCACCCTGCTCGCTCACCTGGTCACCTCTCGACTCACCTGGTCACACACCTGCCCACCTGGTCACACACCTGCACCACCTGCTCGCTCACCTGGTCACCTCTCGGCTCACCTGGTCGTAGAGCTCGTTGGCCATCTGTGGCTTGGGTGCCGTGGTCCACTTGGCTCCGCGCTTGAAGTACTCCTTGATGAGCGGGCGGTACGCGCGGTACTCGAAGAACCGCGCCCTCCACGCCATGGGGGCCTCGATGATCTCGTTCCCGACCACCAGCAGGATGTCGCGGGGCATGGCAGCGTACATCCCTGGGGGCAATGGGCAAGGGAAAGGCATGGGGGTGGGGGGTCAGGGTCACTGTCGGACAGCCCGGGGTCACGTGGGAGCGGCGAGTGTGTAGACGCCGGCCTGGCCATGGTGTGTGCAGGCGGTGCAATTGCACCTCGGGCTCACGGGACGGAGCGGCTCGGGGGGGGGGGGTGGGTTGGGGGGGGGCAGGCCCCGGGCTACGGATAAACGGTGGGGGGGGAGAATTTGTACAGCGATACCCCCCCCCCACCCCCCTATTGCATCCCCTTTATGCTTCGCCGGCCACTGGTGTACGACAGCTACCGCGGTGGGGAGCGCCGTCCTCTCGTTCGCAGACTCGACGCCATCGGCGGGACACGCCGAGTGATGGGTCACGTGCCGCAGTTGGGGCCGGGGGGGGGGGGGCAGAGCGATGTGTGTACAAGTGTGTACTAGTGTGTGCCAGTGTGTACTAGTGTGTACAAGTGTGTACTAGTGTGTACTAGTGTGTGCCAGTGTGTGCCAGTGTGTACTAGTGTGTGCAAGTGTGTACAAGTGTGTACTAGTGTGTGCAAGTGTGTACAAGTGTGTACTAGTGTGTGCAAGTGTGTACTAGTGTGTACAAGTGTGTACAAGTGTGTACTAGTGTGTGCCAGTGTGTACTAGTGTGTACTAGTGTGTGCAAGTGTGTACTAGTGTGTACTAGTGTGTGCCAGTGTGTACAAGTGTGTACTAGTGTGTACAAGTGTGTACTAGTGTGTGCCAGTGTGTACAAGTGTGTACTAGTGTGTACAAGTGTGTGCCAGTGTGTACTAGTGTGTAATAGTGTGTACAAGTGTGTACTAGTGTGTGCCAGTGTGTACTAGTGTGTACTAGTGTGTGCAAGTGTGTACAAGTGTATACTAGTGTGTACAAGTGTGTACAAGTGTGTACCAGTGTGTACAAGTGTGTACTAGCGTGTGCAAGTGTGTACAAGTGTATACTAGTGTGTACTAGTGTGTGCCAGTGTGTACAAGTGTGTACTAGTGCGTACAAATCACACGTGCACGTTCAAGTCCGTACGCCACGCGCTATTGTCGGCAGAGTCGCGACAATTGCTGCTCAGTCCGCCAGAGAGCGGTCGTCGGATTGTTGCGGGTTGTTCGCAACGCGCTCCATTGTCGGGCTGGACGATTTGGGGAAAATATCTCATTGCGATGTTTCTGACAGATATTGCGATTTCATTTGCGATTACGTTTTTAAAGTCAAGCTTCAGTTCAATATTCACTGTGTAATAGATTTTAAAACATGTGATGGAGCATTGCCACGGGATACCATCGAAATATGAACTGCTCTATATGTTCTAATGCAAGGATGAGAACTAAAAAATATATATGAATTGCTTCCAACATGTACTTATTAACATGTTTTAATTGACATAGAACAATAAAACATAGAACAATTGTTAAGTTAAATAAAGTTATAATTATAAAATAATAAAACTATTCGAATAAGAAAGTAATACGACTTTTCAAATCGCAAAAAAATCGCAGCCTTTGCGATTTTCTGGTCGCATTGTTTCAAATTGAGATTTCGATTTGAAATCGATTAATCGTTCAGCCCAAGTCCATTGGCTGGCACCACCGCTGTCGCCCTCGCCCCGCCCCCTCGAGCTCACCCCCCCCCGCCACGCCCCCTAACCCCTCCCCCCACCGCGGTACTCGCAGCGCCCCCCTGTGGCTGGCGCGTGGCACTCACCCCGGCACCCCCACCCGATGTTTCACGCCACACTGGGGCAGGGCAAAGGACGAGGAGCGCCTCGAACATCACGGACGTGGTCGTGGGGGCGAGAAGAGTGCGCGGGGAGCGATGTGGCCATGTTGTTCGCTGTCAGTCATCGGCCGGCTGAACATTCGACGATGTTATGGCCGAGGACGGTCTGTCCGTGGCATCGCGTGTGGGTGACCCGCTGTTGGCATGACTTCAGGGTGCTGGGTGGTTTTGCCCACGACTGCGCGCGTGCCAAATGTGATTGGTGAAAATACTCAATTGGATATATATTTAGGAATAGGTTTTACCCTTTTAACTGGCACAAAAACTGACACACATTTATTCAAGGCATCATGTTTGCAATAACCACAACACAAGCAGTCAAAATGCAAACAAAAAAGACAACTCTGATAATAATATGCACTGTTTTTGAATTTGATTGGTCCACACCCGAGACAGCTTTTCTTAGAGCCTAGTCTCCATTGGTGTTGTGCAAGTTAAAAGGGTAAAACCTATTCCTATATCTTGTTTCTGGCAAAGGAGGTCTCATAATGGATTTTTTTTTTTATTTCAATGTGTGTTCTCTATTTTGAGGTCCATTGCGGAGAATGTGACGCTCTCTTTGGCTCCGCTGTGTGCAGAGGTTTGGGCGCTTCTTACCAAAACAAACCCCAATACTGCCAGAGCCACACGAAGCCAAAGGCCCCTTTAATGGGATTGGTCAAGCATCCCAATGCAGGATCCTTCTGAAGTCTTGAGACTCAAGCGAGGCATTTCCTGAGCAAATACAAAAATATTTTTTAAATAAATAATCCACTCCCGGATGAAGGGCTCTCCAAAGATGCCGGTTTGACCATACTTCACCATGCTGGTCAGTGTGTGTGTTTATAAAGAAGAGGCCGTGGTTGGGAATCTAATTCAGGCGGCCCGGTTCGTGGTGCAGTTAAACTAAAACTAAACTTTAAACAACTTTTATTTTACCAGGTAAGGCCCACTGAGCTACTGTACAGCTCTTTTTCAGAAGCGACCTGGCTGTCACAAATGATAGCCAAATGAAGCGTCTTATGACATGTAGAAATGTACGGCAGCCAGCTACTCTAAACGCATCTTGTTACTAAATGTGGAGGGAAAAACTGGAGGACCCGGAGAAAAATCTACGCGACCATGGGGAGCGAAACGAGCAAACTACAGACGTGAGGATCGGGATCGAACCCACGACCTCCTGATAAATTGGGACAGATGTATGTACGTATGTATGTTGAACTTCTTTCGCACCGTACGTAGCCACCCGTGAGTTTTTTTCAATCTCGACGATTTAAAAGTGCAAATCTCCCAGTGGCCTAATATCGAAAGGAAGAGCTTTCAAGGCGGCCGCGGAAGCGCACCTGAAAGCGCGCGAGGCCGATGATCGTGTTTGTCCGATGGCTGAGCCAAAAGCTAAACGACAACAGCAACGAGAACAAGAAGCTGCGGACGTGGTACCCGTGGAGTTGAAGTCGGGGGTGGTGTAATTGAGGGCCCAGTCGAGGGGCTCCGGCCTCTGCACGGTGACCCCCTCCCCACGCAGCACGGTGCACAGCTCCTCCACCTCGGCCACCGCCTTCTTCACGTGGGCCTCGGGGAACGGCAGCCCCCCCTGCTTCTGGTAAAACTGCCAGTACTTCTCATAGGTGTTCGCCTTGGGGGGGGGGAGCGGGGGAGAGGGGGAGGCAGGAAGTAGGGGGAGCGAGAGATGGGCGAGACGGGGTCGAGTTCCAGGATGAGTCTCGCCCACGAGAGTGACTCGGGTCACCAAAGTTACGAAAACGATTGCAAAGATTAACATAAAATATTATGATGATTATGATGATGAAAAGTGGTTGCTGCTGCTGCCTCTGAATGGGGACACTGACAACCATGGGTCCCCTCGACCACACTAACTACTAATCCTAACCACACTAACCACTAATTCTAACCACACTAACCACTGATCATAACCACACTAACCACTAATCCTAACCACACTAACCACTAATCGTAACCACACTAACCACTAATCGTAACCACACTAACCACTAATCGTAACCACACTAACCACTAATTGTAACCACACTAACCACTAATCCTAACCACACTAACCACTGATCGTAACCACACTAACCACTAATCCTAACCACACTAACCACTAATCATAACCACACTAACCACTAATCGTAACCACACTAACCACTAATCCTAACCACACTAACCACTAATCCTAACCACACTAACCACTGATCGTAACCACACTAACCACTAATTGTAACCACACTAAACCACTAATCCTAACCACACTAACCACTAATCCTAACCACACTAATCCTACCACTAATCCTAACCACACTAACCCTTCCACCAACCTTAACCACACTAAGCCTACCACCAACCCTAGCCACACCACCAACCCCAACCCTAATCCTATCACCACACTGCACCATAACCTTTGCTGCAGTATCACTGCTCCTAACACTCGAAAAAAAGAGCCAATCGCAGACCAGCCCTAGACCCCAACCACAGTGGTAATTCAGACCCTAATGCTCGCTGTAACGCTACTCCTAACCTTACCCCTACCCCGGCTTCCTTCACGATCCCATCCCGCCCTGCATCTGCCGCGCTCCATCTTCACGCCTCCGAAGGGTCACGCGGAGTTATTTCAGCAGCGGAACGCGGCGGTCCGGTGGGGTGCGAGGGTGGGGTGAGAGGCATGGCAAGAGGGAGCGGTGGGGGAAGGCAGGGCATGGCTGGGCACGTCACGCACCTTCACTTCGACGGTGAAGGGCGGCACGCAGGCGTTCTCGGCGCGCCCCACGATCACCTCCTCGAGAGGGTCCCACTCGTTGAACGAGGAGACGGGGCAGTCGGCGGGCACGGAGCTGGGCGCGTCCGGGGGCCCCTGCGTCGCCAGCGTGGGAGACGGCGCCACCTGGGTGCTCTGCAGGGCTCGCGGCACCCAGCCGGCCAGCGCCCTGCGCGCCTGGCAGGGAGGGGTGGTGGTGGTGGTGGTGGGGGACACGAGCACACGAATTGGTCGCGAAAACGTTGCGCTAAAAACGAACCAAGTTCAATTTCGATTTAAAGCTTTCGTGACTGCAAGGATTCATCTTCTTCGGTTCTTTCGGTAAAGTCACGTAGAATGAGAATAAAATAATAAAATAAAACGTGACTTTACCGAAAGAACCAAAGAAGATGAACCAAGTTCAATTTCCCTCCTGGCCCGACGTGGCGACGTGGCCACGGTGACACCAACCTCGTGAGCGTAAATCGAGCGGCTTCAGTTGTGTGGGGTTTGTGGGTCGCGGAACGGTGGGGATCCTTGAAGTCAGACCGGCGAGATGAACGCGGTGATGAATAGTCAAATAATAATACAAATAATAATCAGATATTAATTTCAGCCGGATCTGTCTAGATCAGCGACACAGAATATTTCCGACCCCGAGTACACCTCGTAGAGTAATATCCCTCCACTATGGCCGTGGCTACGAGACACGTGCCACCGGTGACACGGAAAAACGCATTCGGTGAGAAATCAATCCCTGAAAGTTAACGACCTTTATCTATCCAGCAGATTCTCCCTGCATTGGGATGTTAGACCAAGTGATTTTAATTACGATGGGGAAAATCATCCTCACCGATGGGTCGTCAGTCTCCATGTCGTGGTATTGCTTCCCTGTTGCCGTGTGGGGGCCGCATCTCTCACGTTAAAATAGCTTCGTCTTTGCGTGAACTACCAACCCCATATCCAGGTTGCTGTACTGCATATGTGGAGGGTGGGTGAGGGGGGATGCGTGATGGATCAAGCAGCAACCATCGTGTGCTGTCAAACTCCAAACCCGCTGGACTGCAAAGTGGCAAGATGATGGCAGTACAGCAAGCAGGTCTGTCCGGATGTTTTAATGTTATCCCATCGGATGTGGTGGCTTTTCTCATGGGTGATCAATATATTGGCCGGGTGGTTCAATGGCAAAGCGAACGGCTCGCAATCATAAAGTTGCGGGTTCAAACCCTGGTTGGGGGTTTACTCAGCCCGTCTGGGGTCGTGAGGAAGTCCAATGAGAACATTAGTGCACCGCCATAATAATGTGGAGTTTCCACCGCCGTCCCAGGGCTGTCAACAGGAGATGGGCACGGCCTCAATGCACATATGGGCTGGAATTCACTCTGATCTTTGAAATCAATATATATTACGGAGCATCCATACATCAGATTTAATGTTCAAATCTACTTCACAGGATGCACACGTGGACTGTAACATATGTTTACAGTAAATAAAACTAAAACTACAAACTATTTTTTTACTATAATGTATTCTTATTTTACCAGGTAAGGACCCACTGAGCTATATATACCTTTTTCAGAAGCGACCTGGCCACCAATGATAGCCCACTGAAGTGGCTAATCATCTGGAAATGTATAGCAGCCAAATACTCTGAACGCATGTTTATAAATGAGGACCCAGAGAAAAATCCACGCGACCATGGGGAGAGAGAGAGACGCAAACTCCAAATATACAGCAGCAGGCGTCAGGGTCTGGATCTAACCCACGACCTCCTGTATACCAGGCGAGGTTGTTAATATCTCACAGCCACCGCGATGATGATGAGAGAGAGAGACACGCAAACTCCAAATATACAGCAGGCGTCAGGGTCGGGATCTAACCCACGACCTCCTGTATACCAGCCGAGGTCGTTAACATCTCATAGCCACCGTGATGATGATGAGAGAGAGACATGCAAACTCCAAATATACAGCAGCAGGCGTCAGGGTCGGGATCTAACCCACGACCTCCTGTATACCAGCCGAGGTCGTTAACATCTCATAGCCACCGTGATGATGATGAGAGAGAGACATGCAAACTCCAAATATACAGCAGCAGGCGTCAGGGTCGGGATCTAACCCACGACCTCCTGTATACCAAGCGAGCTCGTTAACATCTCCTAGCCACCGTGGTGCCCCAATTGTAGGCGGTCGTGAATCTATTTCGATGAAGATTCCATCTATCGCACAATTAATCATTCATCTGAAACGGTTTCAAATGCACGCTAAACACCGATACCGTCACGCGTGTATGTGTGTTGAACTTCTTTCGCACCGTGCTTAGCCAACCGTTCATGATATGCTCTGCTGTACCAGCAGAGGGACGCATATTAAAGCTCCCAGCACGCGAAGCGAAACGTCGGACATCATCTTGCCGAGCAACGCGCGGTGCGGCCCGAACACGCAGCGGAGAGCTCAATAGTGTGCGAAGTGTCACCTCTCAAGCCAACTTGGTCAGGCATCAGAATCAGCATCTTTATTTTGACTGCAGGAGGAATCCGATGAGCTATGAAGCTCTTTTTCACACATGTCCAGCACGGGCGGGTCAGCAATCTTCGCGTGGACAACTTGTATCCTTGCACCGCGACTCTCTCTACTGTTGACTTTCCGCAAAGTGGTAACGATTTTATTTACCTTGGAAGAATGATGGGTTATCGACCCCCTCCTCCCCCAAGCCAGAATTTGAACTCACGACCTTGGCACGGGGCCCTCGTGCGAGGAATAAAATTCCTCCCCCCTCCCCACTTTCCCCCCCCCCCCCCCTTTTAACCAAATTTCCGCGACTGGACCCAACCGGCCCGCAGATCGGAGGGACCCTGTGCAGTTGCACCGCCTGCACACTCAACAGCCATGCACAATTGTTCTGCGCACTGCGCCACTCAGCCTCACCCCAGCGGGTTCAAATAAAAAATCCGGGGACGCCAGATCCCAGGATGCGGGGGGGGGGCGCGACCACGGACATTTGACCGAGATTTGAGCGCCGCCGCGCCTGGGACCACGGACTCAAGAGGGAGGCGCGCGACTGGGGGGATGGGGGGAGGGAGGAGATGGGAGACAGAGGGGATGGCAGGAACGGTGGGAGCTGGAGGAATGCGCAGAGGAGAAGGGGTGGAGGAGGATGCTGGAGGGGGAGATCGAGGTGGGAGGCTGGGGATGGAGACGAGAGATGTGTAGAGGAGTACACGAGGTGGAGGGAGGTGCAGGAGGAGGAGGGAGGTGCAGGAGGAAGGCAGCGGAGGGGAGGAGATGGAGTTTCGTGAGGGAGGGGGTGAGGACGGAGAGGGGGGCAGGAGGTGGTGTGAGGTGGTGAGGAATGGGGGGGGGGGGGGGTGATGGATGATGCACGAGGAGGAGGCGTGTGCAGAGAAACCGTGAAAGTTTCTCCCCATATTTAGAAGAAGATCGACAGCTGTGCCTCGACCGCGATGATGGCTGGGAACAGGCAGTGCGGGCAGAGGCACAGCGGGGGGCGGTGAAGCAGCGAGGGTTCAGGGTGTGGGGGCAGCGAAGTGAAGAGTGAATGGAGACACTGGGATACGGAGGTCGAACCTTTGAGAGTACAGGGAGACAGATCGTACATGGAGACGGAGGGATAGGGAGACTGGGGTTCAGGGAGACGGGGAGATAAGGAGACTGGGGTTCAGGGAAACAGGGGGATAGGGAGACAATGAGAAGTTAAGCCATTGTCCTGCCTCTCTCCCTCTCTCCCTCTCTCCCACAACTGTCACAAATTATTCTCTCCCACACTGCCCAACTCCCACCCCTTTCTGACCACTCTCTCTACCCCATCTCGCTGGCCTCCTTCTCACCCCGAACATGCGTTGCGCTGTTTGAACAGTGAATTCGTAGACCGTGGCTTACCCCAGGTTACTCAAACATGTCCGTGTCCCTATGCACTCCCCATTTTTATCACCCAACTATCATCCAGCCAATGCATGTACTCAGCCACTCATACAACCACAAATCCACTCGCTGCTCAGCAAGTCACACACCCACTGACACATCCAATCACTCACTCGGCCTCCCAACCACCCACCCAACCACCCACTCACAAAGCTACCCACCCATTCACTGGGACACACACACCAACCACACCACACCCCCACTCACCCATGCACCCATTCACTATCCCACTCACTGAACCACACACGTCCTCTCAAGCACACACTCGGCCATTCACCGACCACCCACTAACCCCACTGCCGCCGCCTGTGGCGGGGGAACCCCAAGGCGGCCGGACAAAAATCCACGCAGGCGAGAAAACTCCCCAACAGGGCTGTACTGGCAGCAGCAGCAGGAGATAGAGGGGGTGAGTGGTTTGATGAATGGGCAGGAGGCCCCCCTCATCTTCCTCCCAGCCACCATCACCACCGTTCGACATCAAAGCAGAAAAAAGTAGCGGTGGGGGGGTGGATAAATAAACGACTCTCACGATGGGAGCACGTGGCTTGTGTGGGGGGGGGGGGGGTCGCTGTAGGGGATGGAATGCGGCCGATGCAGAGACTCAAGACGTGCTCTGCTCACGGAATTCTCAGCGCAATGCGTTGCACACGTGCGCGCTTGAGTTACACGTGTACACACACGCGTGCGCGTGTTCGAGTGTCTACGGGACGACAAGACGACGGTCATCATCGGATCGGACGGGATCAATCCACTGCTGGATGAAGGTCGTCGCCATCTCTCACGGTCGTGCGATCCAAAGATCCATGGAACTCTTCCTCGCCCATGAGCTCGTTTCGTCGCTCAATCATTGGACAGACTGTTGGCGCGTTCCCCTCCTTTGGCTGCTATTCTGTGCCCACTATCGACCACCGCACATTATCACTTTGGTCCAAATTCTGTTGCTGTCGAAAGTGAAATATTTTCAAATACCCCATCCACCCTCCCCACTTCCCGTCTCCGACTGTATAGACTGTCGGTGCATGTACTGTTTGCGAGCACCTATTAAGTTGGGAACCGCGAAGAGGCGGCAGGTTCCAGCACCACGCTCGGCTACCTTTGCCTTCCCAGTGCTGTTCTTTTACACACCGCATCAGGTACTCATTTGCGGGCTGATCAGACCTAGGGAAAAAGGCCTGGACCGGTTCTGATCCAACTTGCCACAGATGTCCGCCGTGGCTGGGAAAGGAACCAGGCTCGCCTGGTTCGCAGCGCAGTGGGCCAGTAGCTGCCCCACCGCTCCCTGCACGTACACAGATTCTCCCGTATAGCCTCCACACCGCTCCCACGCACGCTCTACGCAGGTTACCGCACGTACGCGCTATACGTACGCGCAGGGTGCACGCTCAAAAACAGGTCAGGCGGAGTCTGTTTCTAATTTGCCGTCGTGGCCTAAGCGGTCGCGCGCTCGCCGCCGCTTCTTGCAGAGGCTCGCGGTTCGAATCCGGCGGGCGCCCTGAATAACACTGCGGTGGTGTCATAACCACCGCGATAAGTCCGCGCCGTGGGCTTCGGAGTGGACGTCATTCGCAAGAGTAGGCCATTGTGTGCCGACGTCACCGTCCAGATTTGCCAAATGTGAATGAAAAAAAGTTCACCGGCAAATGACTCAATTAGGATTATACACAGCAGCAGCAGCGGTCGCAGACCTCTCTTCGACTGGCGGACTCATGCCCGATGTCACTCTGGCCTCTTGAAATCTCACCTCGTTAAACAACATCAACTCGGTGAACTTTAAACAAAGACAAGGGTCGCTCTTATAGACTGTCGGGGCAAGTGCTGCTAGCGAGTGCACGCGTGCACACAGTACAGCACTGCAGTTAGCGCTTTTCATAAAACTCACTCCCCCACATCACTAGGCTCATTAATTGTCTGAAAACATCTTAATATGTGGAGGAGTGCAGAGCTGGTACGATTGTTGGCGCCGTCAGTTTCAGTTTTCAGTTCAGTTTAGTTTATTTTGGTATAGCCCTGTGAGCTTTCGGCTCTTGAATCGGGTGCAACCACAACAAACAAACAAAAACACGAACAAGAAAAGCATCTTAAAGTGACTGGCCGCCTTCCAGGTTGTCCGTGCTTCGCCTCGTGTGCACAACGCGCAGCCCTTTGTCAATCCACTCTGCCAGTCGTTTCAACCATACTTCACCACGATGGTCAAATTGGAGGTTCGTTGAAGGGGCGTGCTACAGGATCGGTTCGCATATTACGCGCCGCTGATGTCAGCCGCGGCCGGGAGTCGAACTCGGCTCACTGGGTTCACCGTGGAGTGTGCGAACCAACGCGGCAAAGTCGAGTCCGTCTGTAGCGATGTACCCAGCTATATTCGCGAGTCTGCTGTGCATGGCTCGTACGGTGACTGAATCATGTACGGATCAAGGACAGCGGACTCACAACCACGCATCCAAGTGAAGTACCGCATCGAAGTTTAGTCCGTAGGGCCCCTTGGCTCTTCGGACCGATGTCATCCAACAGCATTCCCCTTACGCGATCAGAGTGTGGAGGAGGATGGCTTGCGACTATCCGCGTCTCACCGGCAGAGCAGGTCTCGTTAAACAACCACAACTTGCGATTCCACATGCGACTGACAAGAGCACTCGCACTCATCATCACGACATGACTCTTGAGCGCGAAATGCAACATTGAATAATAATGCCACAACAATCATGCGCTTCTGTAATATTCCCCATGCACAGATGCTCAGTTTCGACTGTTTAAAAACGTCCCACTCGATGACTCTCCCTTGCACAGGTCATATAATGACCATACCACGCACGCCCCAAGCAACGACCCCACTACCCTACCATGCACATCCTACCAATATTCCTACCATTGCCATCGAATCTAATGGCCACGATGCCATACAGTCCATGAGCCAATGGTCGGCACCACGTGGGGTGGACATTTCTAACGGTATTCCCCGTGGATAGTGTCCACCATGGGCAGACAGCCAGGGACATACACCGTATGTTTCAGAGAGACACACATACACACACTTCTTATGTATGATCATATACCCGTAGATGTTTCATCTCGCTGGCTTTTTCCCCAAAGCGATATTCACTATCGATTCCTATTTAACGAAGCATTAGCTCTTTAAAAAAAAAAAGCTACCACGCTGAGCTTGCTATCACACATCCGTGGGATCTAGAGATAAAAACAATATAATGAAAATCATTGCTAGCATTTGCCACGCTGGGTGCAACCGATATAAGACATTTCAAGGACCGTCATACACATACGGAGTACTGGATTAGCATGCCACCAACATCCAGATCACGCCTGCCCCACGTAATGACCATGCCAGGAACGAAGCACACACATCCATCATACGTTCACACCTCACGCAGGCAAACCGAAACGGCGACTCTCTAGCGTGAGACGGCTGCGCAGTGTTTGATTAGCGCACTGCGCCCTCGACTCAGCGGCACCAAGTTGGACTCCCAGCCGCGGCGAACATCACTGGCGATGGATATCTGAGCCCGGTGCTGGGGTCGCTTTTCACCACCCCGGCACTCACCAGCGTGGTGAAGTATTGTCAAACAAAAGCCCCTTATGACCGACGTGGCACGGGGAGGCATTCATCCAGCAGTAGATTGACAGTGAGCCCGTATGTGAATATGTCATGCAAATGTTGATTTCATGCTACCCATTACATAATGACCAATGCCTGCCATACACGGGATGCTGCTGGATTAAAATCCAAGTTTCTCATCCTCGCGTGTTCACTTTCCTTGCGTGGCCCGCTAACCCCCTCGTGTCCCCTACCCCCTCATTAAACCCCTCGTGTCCCCTACCCCCTCATTATTCCACATCCCCACGCGTCCCCTGTGGCACCGCGTCCCCCTGTCCCTGTGTGTCCCACATGCCCTCGTGCCCCCTACCCCCTTGTACCCCCGCTATCCCAGGATCCCCTGTCTGCTCTTACCATGGTTCCTATGCAATGCGCTGCCTCGGCACCTCTGCTACCTCCACGGAGGCATCTGACTCTGAGCATCTCGAGGCAGGATGGAGATCGACCCGGGGCCGATGCTGGAGCGAGGGTTCTGGGGAGCGGTGCGCCGTGTGGAGAGAGCGAGAGAGTGATGAGAATGGGAGAGAGAGTGATGAGAGTGGGAGTGAGAGACGGTGAGTTGAGAGACGCAGAGTGAACCAAAGTGAGGGCGCGGGGCGGGGAACGGCGACCTTAATAAGGAGTGGGGGGGTGGAGGGGAGGTTGGAGGCGGTGAAGGGTGTGGGGGGGGGCTGCATAGAAGGGGTGGTGGGAATTCCTTCCGTCAGCGACTCCCCACAAGCAGAGATAGATTTATAGGCACAGATACCTAGGCTTAGGCAGCGTGCACGCTCACCCGGTTATCAGTAACTTCATTGCAATATTTTTATCGTCATCATGTTTGTCACATGGTACATATAAGTAAGGGAAAATCCAATGGGGGCGGGGGGGGGTCCGTCCACCTGTATAGTGAAAGGGAGTCACTGAACATTATGGAAGCGTGCAGCAAACAAGGTGTGAATCACAATGGAGTGTCCCTAGCTTTCCATAAATAGCGACCACCACACCACACAATAGGGGAGGGTGAAAGGAGAAAGACCCCAGCCACAAGCATCTCTGCTCTCGAGCTCCAGCCAGCAGTGAACGGGAGTGGTCTAAATAAACGACCAAACTGCAGGCTTTAAGTAGCTCTAAGTAGCAGCTCGGCAGGACTGTGTGGTTAGAGCGCGGATATTTGAAGGATATTTTTGTAATGCACCGTGGGTCTCTGTAATTAACAGTCCCCGTGTGATTTTTATTTTTCAGTGGACAGCCGGTGGGGAGCAGGGGAGGACAAACGAGTTTCGGCAGAAGAGGAGGGAAGTGGAGCACAAGGAGTCTGCCTCTAACGCCAGCCCTGTGGTGGGAAGGAATCAGCAGGGCCGGCTCGCTTCCTCTGCTCTGGCGACGGTGTCCGGCCTGCCCAGTGGTGGTGGTGGTGGTGGGGGCCCACGACTCGCGGAGCCCAGCCTCACCCTGGAGTCGGGGTTGTTTGGGAATGAAGACGCCATCTCTAAGGCTAAAAGCGCCTTATTTAAGGGTGTGTGAGTGTTCGGGAACGCGCAGGCTTTGGTGTGAGTGTCGGGTTAATGGGGTGATCCCGTGAAACAAGTCGTGAGCGCACCGTGGTGTCCAAGAGATACGCCACTGCGTGAAAACTGGCAGCAGGGTGGCTTGGCAAAAAATGAAAGACAGAGCAACCCTATTGAATCTGCTCGGGTGCGTGGTCTTGCTTTCTCTCGTTCGACTCGACTCACAATATACAGGGGAGTGACCTGGCTGACCCAAAATATAATAGTGGCGCCGATAAAGGTGAGGTTGGCAAAGCGGACAAGACACTTAAGTGCCTGTCGTCATCATCCTCCTACTATCTTTTCATAGAAAGGTAATTATCCGTCATTCCACTTGCAAGGGATGAGCGACTCACTGTGAACGACTATATTTATTTACTTCTCATGGTCATTACACTCTCGGTCAGGACTATCCCTCGTCGCGGGAATGTGGAATTTCCTGTCGCTGCCGCAGTGGTTGGAGCACGCCTCTAGTGAATGAACTGAACCCCACCATATGAATGTGGAATTTCCACCAATAGCACAGGGATGCAAAGAGTCGATGAGTGCCGCCCAGGGAACCGCTGATGTTTTTCTTGTATCACAAAACATTTTTCTCCCAATTCCTCAACACACATTTACCAGGGAGTGAATATTCCACGTTCTTATGCCAGCGGTACATTCATTCAGTTGTGCAGCCTCACAGGGGGGGTGGGGGTTGACTTTTCAGATTTCGAAGATAGGCGATGGTGATGGCAGTGCACAACACGGAGAATCCGAAACTTGGAACCGCTGCGATGTATCGGCGGCTTCGCTACCCTAATTAGAAATGTCCTACTTTAGTCCGGTAAGTAAAACCCACCCCGCGCCACACGGCCCCGTCTATTTTGACAGAACGCGTAATGCACACCTCCCTACTGCTGCAACTGCGAATAACGTTTCTCCTGCTTCTGCTGCTGCTACTAATATCCCTGCTATTGCCACTCCTGCTGCTGCTCATACTACTGCAACGATTATTGCTGATATTGCTGCTGCTGCTGCTACTACTACTGCTGTTGTTACTGCTACTGCTGCTACTACTGCTACTGCTGCTACTCCTGCTGCTCTTTGGTTCTTTCGGTAAAGTCACGTAGGTATAAAACAAGAGTATGGATCTCTGCAGTCACGAAAACTTCAAATCTAGATTACTACTACTGCTGTTGTTGCTGTTACTGCTGCTGCTACTCTTGCTGTTTTTGTTGCTGCTGCTGCTGCTACTACTGCTGTTGTTACTGCTACTGTTACTATTGCTGTTACTGCTGTTACTACTACTGCTGTTGCTGCTGCTGCTGCTATATTAGAAATGAGCCCTCTCCAGAGGGAGTCAGTGACTTCAGGTTTATCTTTCTGTACGCACCACGACCACGTGTCCCATGCCGTCCCGTGTGCCGCACCTCGCGAGGCAACTGCCCTCTTACCCCCTTCGCCATCGAGGGCCTCTTGACTCACAGCCAATGCCGTCGCGTTACTTGATAACGGCCATACTGGTCCCCGTCACGGGAACGTGTAATTTCCACCGGTGATTGTTTTAAATACTGTACGTGATTAGGCGCCGCCGCACAGGTTTCTGTTGTGATTAATTGCTCAGTGTGATCGAATGTGGGAAATAATTGCAAGCGAAATTTGTTACATTCATTATGTAAGCGTTACGTGAGCGGTATCCATAGGGGTGGAGTTACTACTGTCTGCATCGAAGAATGTTTTGGCAAATCGATCGTTGCCTTCACGATGCGAGCGTAGATTGTTCATGCTTTACGTCATAATTATAGATCAGCTGAATGTTCCATTACAGATGGCTGAACGGACTCGACGTTCGGAATACAGGAGGAGGCAGTACAAAACAGATGACAACACGGGTGAGATGGGGAGACCATATCCCAGTCGGAGAGAGTGTACACACACGACGTGGCAGAACAACGGAACGAATGAGCGAGCGACAGAAATTACAACCCTTTGAATTTCTTGTTTCAGCCGTCGCATACCACGGCCAAGAGAAATTGGAAGAGAGAAGAAAAATAATGTGAAATGAAAGGATCAGGGTGGAACGGAGAAACGGGGGCAGAAGAGGCTACACAAAGGCGCTGCTGCTGCTGCTGCACAGATGAGCGGTCTCTGTTTTGGCATGGGGAGTCACAGACGCACTTCTTGGAGGCAACACATTTATTAACACCAACACACGGGGTAACTGCCCCTTAACAAGATAACAACCTGTGGTGGTGGACCACCAGGCCAACTGCAATAATTACACGGTAACTAGCTACGTAACCACCAGGCTAACTGCACTAATGCCACCGTAACTAGCTACAACGGACCGGACCACAGCTTGGGTCCAGGTCCAGGTGTTGGTGACTCTGTAGGACTTAGAATGGAGAACGTAGATTCTTAAGGATGAACAACAGCAGCCGGTCCCTCTCAGGGACTCGGCTTAAATCGTCTGTGGTGGGGCTGGCTCCGCCCTTAGCCACGACCACCTTCTAGAACCCTCGAGCGGGATCTCGACCCTGACACGTGACCACCCCTAGCCCCCACTTGGAGGCCCTGTGTAGACTTAACCGGTCACGTGTCCTCTGGGGTCAACCAGAGTGCCACGGCCTATAGTAACCCCATTCCCGTGGCCGGCACTCCCGCACCTTATCCTGTAGGGGTCGGCACTGCACGCAGAGCGTGGTGCCATCCAGCGCTGTCAATCAGCGCTCACCAAGCTCCTCTAGGGCCGGCATAACACAGTGACATCCGTGATGTCACGACATAAGGAAAAGGAGCAGAAATGGGAAGAGAGAAGATAAAGAATGCGAAATAAAAGGATCAGGGTGGAACGGAGAAACGGGGGTAGGAGAGATGAGGATCGGGAGGAAGAGGCCACACAAAGGCGCTGCTGCTGCTGCACAGAGGAGTGGCGTCTGTTTTGACAGGGGGTGGGGAGAAGGGAGGAATCCAGAGTGGAAGAGGCAATATAGAAGTCACGTGATTTACTGGAGGCTTGAGCTGATTTAGAGAAGGACGAGACAGATGAGACAGACGGCATGCACTGACGACACAGAACAGGACAGAACACACTAACAACATAACAGAACACAACGTGACAGAATAGGTGCGCATAGCCAATACCGTGTCTGTAATCCAGCACTGTGGAGGAGAGAGTTGACGGATCGCACAAGTGTTGTGAAATTCCCTTCCCGTTGGCGTCGAGATGTCATACCCTGGCTCGCCAGAAATCAGTAGAGAAAGTGGACTAATGCATGTGTGGTGATACACTCAGAGACACTAGGAGTAAGAGGCACTCTATTTAAAACTTGATTAGGTGCTTTCGTGACTGCAGGAATTACTCTGTTTTTTTCGGTAAAGTCACGTAGAAATAATAAAAAATAAAATTATATAATAGCATACGACGTTTTGATTGCAACACAAGAAATAATCATCAGGTACAGAAGAGCTAAATTTAAGAGATGGAGGAAACACATAACCGCAGATATATATACGTGACTTTACCGAAAAAACCAAAGAGTAATTCCTGTAGTCAAGAAAGTACCTAATCAAGTTCCAACCACCTCTACGGGGAGGTATGAAGTCTGTCTTTGTGTTGTCTCTGCTGGTGTACCTGCCTTTCTGTCTTGACTTGGGTTTGTACCGCTGTGTTGTCTCTGCCTGTGTGTGTGACAACTCGTGCCCTCTACCCGCACCGTCCTTTGATATGTGCTCTCTTCATGCTAATTTGTGTCCCATTGTCTCTGAGTCCCAGCCCCGCCGTCCCTGTCTATTTAAGGCTTCGGCACAGAGATGCTGCTCCACTTCTTTACTGTGTGCGTGTCTCTCCCCATATGTCTCTTTGCGGTCTGTGTTCTATCACTCTTAAATTTCACACTTAACTTACAATTTAGCAATCTTTGAAATAGCGTCATCAACCAGACCATGCGTTAATTGTGTTTTAACCGACCGTCTGTGTTGCTTTATATAGTTTCCAAATTTTTGCTAAACCCTGTTTGATTTAGTGTGCTCCTCCGTCTCTCTGTGTCCCCTGGTGTGTCTGTGTTAATTCCCTCTACTTAGGGTCCGTATATATATCTGCGGTTATGTGTTTCCTCTCTCTCTTAAATTTAGCTCTTCGGTACCTGATGATGATGATTGCTTGTGTTGCAATCGAAACGTCGTATGCTATTATATAATTTTATTTTTGTTATCATTTCTACGTGACTTTACCGAAAAACCCAAAGAGTAGCACTTTATTTAGTACAGCCTTCACAGGGTACAAAGAGTAACTACTCTTCAGTCAGGACAGCCAACAGACTGGCTGACTGACAACGCCGAGAAGGTGAAGACGGTGACGGAGACTCCAGCAGCACGACGGGATTCCACTCCAAGCAACAGCCCCCCGAATCTTCGCCCGGGGTCCCCTTTTATCTTCCTGGCGTGGCCTCGCTCCGCCCCCGGCCACGCCCCCTTCTAGAACCTACTCGCGGGTTTCCGGGCTTACCTCACGTGACCCCTCTATCACCTTTGCCCTACATCCCTCTCCCTGCTTATCGCGTGACCTGCTGACAGACAGGTCTGCAGGCAACTGCAGATCCCTTTCTCTGCCAGCAACCGGCGCTGTGCTCCACAGTGACCCATTCCATGTCACTACACGTGTGTGTATATTGAACATCTTTCGCAGCGTACGTAGCCAACCGCAATAAATTGAGTTGCGGGGGAAGGACAACAAACGAAACGCAAAAATCAGTTCGAAAGAAATTAGGTTTCAATCTAATCACCATCTGTTTCCATCTGGACGATGTTTCCCCCTTGTATGAGTGGTTTCTTTCCGGCTGCTCAGGTTTCCTCCGGCACGTATACACAACACTCGTCATTCACTGGATAAAATATCGCCTTAACAACAAAAAAAACAAATGTACGCATGCGGCATGACCTTCCTGAAAAGGAGTCGTCCGGCTCGGTGCGGTTCTCCCGGATAAATAAGTTAAATTCCAAATTTCCAAAGGCGAAATTAATCGCTCTGATTTTTTTCCTCTCCCCCCCCCAACCTCCCAATCGAATGAAAGCCAGCAGCGATTCGTGGCAGCGGCGGTTGGGATCGCGGCGCCACGCGCTGTGCCGGGACACGAGAGAGGGAGCGGCAAGGCAGCGAGGCACGCGTCCAGGCCCTGTTGACGCTGCTGGGGTGCTTCGAGTCCATTTCCATTCATTGGGTAGAGCCCTGTGAGCCATTCGGCTCTTGAGTCGGGTGCAACCGCAACAAACAAAAAACATGAACAAGAAAAACATCTTAAAGTGACTACGTGACTGTGCAAACAGAAAATCCAGGAAAAAACATAAAAATATTCCTGAAATAGCACCGAAACCCAACGCTGTATGCAAGAATCCCAGTGGGATGCAAGTCAAACAACAACAACCACAAGACAACTAAGATTAAGGCCATCAGTCTAACTCCATACTACAATAAACAAAAACATGGCCGAGCCAAAAAACGTTTTCGAAATCACCAAAACAAAGCCATAAATGCAATATAACAGTGATCATAGGGACTGTGACCGATTTTTTTTTACAATAAACTACATAAATAACATGTAACACACAAGCCGGGACAGTGACACGCGGTGGCACGGGCTGCGAGGCTGCGTAGGGGTGCCGACCTGCGCGACGCGATATTGACACGCAGGGTCACAGTGCGCCACACACAAACAGAAAGACGAAGATTTCCCCCCCCCTTACCCCCCATCTTGACGGACTGCTGGAGCAGAGTGATGTTCGCTAGCACCTCTGAAGGGTTGGTGCGGGTATCAGCACACCAGAACGCTTTGGTCTCCCTACCTCGTGACCATGTTTACACGCAGCGGCAATGATGAAGCCGCTGCCTGGATCGGCGCAAGCGGACGCGCTAAATAAATTGCGGGGGTGCTGTACTTATTGAGGCATGAAGATACAAACACACCAAGGGGGTGTGAATACGTGGACAGCCCTTAGTCAACCCAATGCCGGATGAAGGCCTCCCCGCGCTAAGATTGATGATTGTGGCGGTGATGATGATGGTGGTGTTGCTAGTGCTGGCAATGATGATGATTGTGGCGGTGATGATAGTGGTGGTGTTGCTAGTGATGGCAATGATGATGATTGTGGCGGTGATGATGGTGGTGGTGCTAGTGATGGCAATGATGATGATGATTGTGGTGGTTATGATGATGCTGGTAGTGATGATAGCGATCGCAATGATGATAGTGGCGGTTGATGATGAAGACACATGTGCTCGTAACGGATGACGATCAAGTCAATCCCTACACTAAAATCGGAAGTCGATCTCACAAATCGTAAGCCGAGCGCTCGCTGTATGTGGTTCGTTTTTTGTGTGCCACAAATGAACCACAAAACCCCGCTGATCTCGTCGATGAGCATTAACCATCACGCGAACTCCGATGGTCATGTTCGCAGCAGCGGATTTTGGCTCAGCCATCGACCAAACACGGTGGTCGCCGCATCGCGCAGCTTTCAAATGCAAAAATAATAGAATATATATGTTTGTTGTTTTGTTGTTTCCCTTCGGCGTGGCTTTGCCGAGGGAGCTAAGAATATGAATGCACATTACAATTCCTTATAGGGGAAACACATACTAATTAACGGATTACTAACATAGCATATAATCACTAACACACATTACAACTAATTACTAATCTACAACTCATTACTAATCATAACCATTGACTGATTACTTATCGATTATATAATTACAGTACCCCCCCTCCGCCTCTAATCACTGCACCTGATATGAGTTCAATGATGACGTCACCCTGCTGCTCTATATAAAACCGGGAGCAAACGAGGACTTTACCATTCTGGCGAATTGCCCGATGATGCTGGATGTATTTACCAGCTAAACGTCGTACTCAAACTGTAAATGTTGTGGATTCACTCTTCAACACACCGGTGGGCTAAAGTAGTGAATTATTTGTCTTTTGTCAACGTGACACTTTTTTTGCTGATTGGCCGTGTCGGGTGGTGGAGGGTTACGACACATTTATAAATAAACGCGATCTAACCCAAAAACCTTTATTATGAATTTCAAATGCACTTCTGCGTCCGTCTGGAACACTCTTCCTTCCGATTTGAGCAAGCCACTGGAGCACTTTTAAAATCAAGTAGATTGAAAACGAATGTATTTAGAACTCCGTTTTGTGTTTAGTTTATCCCCCCCCCCCCCCCCTCATTAGCACGGTTGGCTATGTACGGTGCGAAAGAAGTTCAACACAGTACACATCTACCCGTCAGTGATACTTACCGCCGCAATCGCAGCTTCAGAATATTGGTAATGCCGTAATCAGAACGATCACCGCGGGGCTATCAGCCACCCCATCTACAGTTATGGACGGCCTTCATCCAGCAGTGTATTGACACATGGTCGTAAACGTACGACTGAGACACAATTGACCTCGGAATCCGGCACGCACGCACGTGGCGGGGTTCACACGCTCCAGGTGCGGAGTTCGCACCACGGGGGGTCCCCTAAGGGTGGACGCAGCGCACCGCGGGGGGTCCCCTAAGGGTGGACGCAGCGCACCACGGGGGGTCCCCTAAGGGTGGACGCAGCGCACCACGTGGGGTCCCCTAAGGGTGGACGCAGCGCACCAAGTGGGGTCCCCTAAGGGTGGACGCAGCGCACCAAGTGGGGTCCCCTAAGGGTGGACGCAGCGCACCAAGTGGGGTCCCCTAAGGGTGGACGCAGCGCACCAAGTGGGGTCCCCTAAGGGTGGACGCAGCGCACCAAGTGGGGTCCCCTAAGGGTGGACGCAGCGCACCAAGTGGGGTCCCCTAAGGGTGGACGCAGCGCACCACGTGGGGTCCCCTAAGGGTGGACGCAGCGCACCACGTGGGGTCCCCTAAGGGTGGACGCAGCGCACCACGGGGGGTCCCCTAAGGGTGGACGCAGCGCACCACGTGGGGTCCCCTAAGGGTGGACGCAGCGCACCACGTGGGGGTCCCCTAAGGGTGGACGCAGCGCACCACGTGGGGTCCCCTAAGGGTGGACGCAGCGCACCACGTGGGGGTCCCCTAAGGGTGGACGCAGCGCACCACGTGGGGGTCCCCTAAGGGTGGACGCAGCGCACCACGTGGGGTCCCCTAAGGGTGGACGCAGCGCACCACGTGGGGGTCCCCTAAGGGTGGACGCAGCGCACCACGTGGGGTCCCCTAAGGGTGGACGCAGCGCACCACGTGGGGTCCCCTAAAGGTGGACGCAGCGCACCGCGGGCTCCAGGATCCCCTGTGGACCCGGCGCGTCGGCCGTCGTGGATATTTCACCAGGGCAGTGTTTCTTGAGCAGTCAGTAAACCGAGTGACGACTTCACTTGCAACCGCAACTGACACACATCCTCGTCTAATTTACGTGGCACTGCAGTAATCACCTTAAAATATATGTTGACGTATCTGTAACTTTATTTTGCCACGTTTTTTTTAGTTATTTGTCCAAACCGACTTTTGTTACAACCTGAGGTTATTTTAAGCATCACGAACGTCATCATCATCGTCGTCTGCAAACGGCGTCCAATCGTTCGAGGCGGAGGAATTCCTATTCATATTCTTAGATCTTTTCACTAAAGTCACGTTGAAGGGAAACAATAAAATAATAAAACATATATGAAACAATTCCTCTTTAGAAGCTCGCCCCATTTGTTTCAGCTGTCGCGCCTGGAGATCGAAAATTTGCGCTGCGCTCACCACTCGGGACACCGCGGCCCCCGATCCCCGCAGTGAGCACGCGTGGGGGCCCGTGCCATCAGGAACCATGTTCATGTTCGTGTCGCAGTATGTGTAGAAATTAAGGGCCGTCCATAAATGACGTCACGCACCTACAGGGGGGGGGGGGGGTCAGACATTTGTGGCGATGTGTGACGAGGAGGGGGGGGGGTTGAGAAATGTGACGTCACATCAAAATGCGCAACTTTCAATAAATATAGAATTATATTCTTGGTTATTTCGGTAAAGTCACGTAGAAGGGAAACAATAAAATAATAATAAAATAATAAATATAATAAATGTATTGTTTCCCTTCTACGTGACTTTACCGAAAGAACTAAGATATGAATCCCTGCACTGCAGTCACGAAAGCTTTAAATAAAAAATCTAGAATTGTCATAACAACACTAATTGTTATAACAACACTCCTACAACATCAGAGTGCAGCGCCACATTAAATACGCACTACAATGACAATAGTTTAAAGCGATTTGAAGCATCTTTTATTTTCAAAATGGAAATATCGTTTTGGAGGGGGGGGCAGAGCTTTGTGACGTCATAATTGAGGGGGGGGTCTGACTGTTGTGACGCCGTGTGACGAGGGGGGGGGGGGGAGTTAAAAATCGTCAAAAATCGCGTGACGTCATTTATGGACGGGGCCTTAAATATATTTTTTTAAAGCGAAACTGATTAAACCTCCAATTCTGCTGATAATGGTTTCGTAGGCAAGGGAGCTGCTGCTGTTGCTGTGTGTTTAACGATGCTGTCCGTGTTTACTTTTTCTTCGTGAATTTCCTGAAGAGTTACTAGACCAGACGATGGTCACGGGCACCGCGCCAAATGATGCCACCTCGGTCCAGGAATGGCTCTGTCGCATTGTAAGAGAGGCCACGGGCTCGAGTGCCACGGAGGGCCCCGTTGGTCTCCATCCAGAGCGGTGTTCATTGACGAGCGTGTCGAGTTGTTGTTGTTGCCGTCGCCCCCGTGGTTATCGTGAACAACGTCCTCACGTGCTGCTGCTGCTGCTAGCAGAAGCTTCGGACTACAAAGCCGCCTGGTCGCCTTGACGACGAGGAGGAGCTTGGGCCACGGGTCGCCACCCCCCGCGTCCCCCGCCCCCACACCCAGAGCCCCCACACCCCAAGCCCCCACCCCCCGCGTCCCCCGCCCCCCATCACCCCGAGCCCCCTCCCGCCCTCACACCCCGAGCCCCCCCACCCCCCGCGTCCCTACCCCCCGCGTCCCCCGCCCCCCCACACCCCGAGCCCCCACACCCCGCCCCCCCACCCCCCGCGTCCCTACCCCCCGCGTCTCCCGCCCCCCCACCCCCCGAGCCCCCACCCCCCACACCCCGCCCCCCCACACCCCGCCCCCCCACACCCCGAGCCCTCCCCTCTCCGTGACGGCAGTGACGTCACTTACTTGCGACCGAGCCGCGCGCCTATGGCCGCCAGGACGCGGCGCGTGCGGTGGTTGTGTTGATAGCCTCGTGGTGGTGTCGGTGATTGTGTCTGATTGTGTCGGTAGCCCCGTGGTTGTGTTGGTAGCTGTGTCGGTGGTTGTGTCGGTAGCCCCGTGGTTGTGTCTGATTGTGTCGGTAGCCCCGTGGTTGTGTTGGTAGCTGTGTCGGTGGCTGTGTCGGTAGCCCCGTGGTTGTGTCGGTGGCTGTGTCGGTAGCCCCGTGGTTGTGTCTGATTGTGTCGGTGGTGGTGTCGGTGGTTGTGTCGGTGGTTGTGTCGGTAGCCCCGTGGTTGTGTCTGATTGTGTCGGTAGCCCCGTGGTGGTGTCGGTGGTTGTGTTGATAGCCCCGTGGTTGTGTTGATAGCCCCGTGGTTGTGTCTGATTGTGCGCTTGTGAGTGTGCGTCTCTGCTTGTGTTTGTCTCTTGACAGCCACCCGTAATATCTTTCGAGCTATCTCCGTCCGCCGTTTGTAGTCGTCCCTGCGGCTGTGTTATTATTGTCCCTCGTCGGTGGTCATGCTGGAGCCGGTCCCCCCTCAGTGTCGTGACCCCCAGGAGGCCACCACGAGAACGGAGAAGGTTCTGCACCTCCGTTCTCAGCGTGGACACGGAGTGAGAGTCCGCAGGGAGCTTTACCTGCGGCAGGACGTGGCCTGTTCAAGCGCCCTCTGCCTGGCCCAATGTGACCGCGGTGCGTGCCCTGGGTTCCCCTGAGATCCTTACATCGCCCCCCCCCCCATATACATGGATATGGTCTCAAAGGCCAAAGTGTGTTATGTTTAACTTCTTTCGCACCGTACGTAGCCAACCGTGTTAATCAGACAACAAAGTAAGGTTCTGGGATCCCATGCAGGGTCATATACTGAGGGGGGGGTCCCCCTTGGGTCACATCGAGGCCCCGTGCCGCACAACTGAAGTCCCGGTGCTTCTGAACGTTGGTTGCTTCAGGGGTCCTGGGCGCTCAGCACTGATTGCCTTGGGCGCCCAAACTGGAGTGACAGAACCCCTGGCTGATGTTGCACACAAGCACTTCAAACCGACCGGCTTCCCCGAATTGTCTTGGGCTGATGACTTTGCAGTGTGTCCCCCTTGAGCCGCTGCACCTGGGCACACTGGGGCCACATGAACGACAAGTGTGAAAGATCACACCCAGGGTCCGAGGACTGATCAGGGTCCCTTTGGAGTTTTGATCTGTATCACACTGGAGTCCTCCCACGTCCCAGAGCAGAGTCTTGGTTCCAATTGGGGCCTAGTGATGGGGTCCCCCCCTGGATCATAACTGGGTGATCATGCCTGCAACGCAGTACAAGGACACTTTCAGAATAATGAAGTTGGCAAGTTATGATCACAAAATCAAATATTACACCAAGCGCACACGTTTAATAGGATTCATTTATTTTCCACCGAAAGCAACTTCGAGGTCTTCACATTCGACAGCGTTTCGTTAACGATTATCTCAATTCTACGCCTGCTACCCCCTTCCCTTGGGAGTCCGCTTCACTCCCCAAAACTGTCCCTCCCCGACACCCCTGACCCCCACCCTGGATTTGCAGGGCCCAAGCTGCTGGGTGCTAACCTCACCCATTACCTGGTACCAGGCTGCACCGTGGTGCAGGAATTCCTGGAGATTCTGGAGCTACCCGAGCTGCAGGGCCTCGTGTTCACGCAGACCTCCTGCAATGCCCTGCAGCACGCCAAGGGCCGCAGGTAATGGGGGTGGAACCACGCGCACCAACTCTTTTGCACTGTCCGTTATGGGGTTTTTTCCCCCCCCAAAATTACTTTATTGACAAAACAATTGAGGGAAATACCAGAGAGGATATTAAAGGGGGTTGACACCAGCACAAACACATGACGGATTACAGTGCAATGGAAACCTACCTAAACCGCATGTTTCAATAAACTCTGCAACCCCCTGGTGTCTTCCTAAGCTCTGATACTCTCGGAGGATAAGAAAAAAAGGGGGGGTGGTGCCTAAATGCCCTAATGATTGCTTTTTAAGATTCAATGCCCACTGGAGGAGAGGGAGTTAAGGGGTTCTATGCTTGGTGGTAAGCGTCCTCCCTGCCCCTTAGTGTGGCACTTAGATGCTCTAGAGCAGCAATTTTTTTGACAATTTATTGGCCCATTTCTGCAGTGTTGGGGGGAGCCGTGCTCTTTCCAATTGGCTATAATGGTGCATTTTGCCATGACATTGAACATTTGGAATACTAGATTTGCCTCCCTGGAAAGGCCTTGAGGTTTCAACCCCAACAGGGACATTTCTAATTAGGGTGGGATGCTCGTTTTGTGAATGTGGTGCAAGTAGCAAATTGATAATTTGAAAAAAAAAAAACTTAACGTCTGGACATTGCCAAAAGGCATGTCTGTATGTTTGAGGGGCTCTCCGGTACCCTTTGGATCGCTGCACGCAAACGAATTAAGGTCGGGGTTTTCGAAACAAAATTTTCGCACCGCAGTAGAGTTTTTCCGAGCTTACGAACGTACCTCGGTTTCAAATACAAATTAAATCGTTACAAGCCGCACTTGCATGTTCCTCGTTAAGCATAGATAGCATTTCATTATATTTTATTGGTACCTTGTCACATGGGGCCACACGTAAACACACAAGGTCTCCTTGACTTAAAAGGAGTTCGCTATACGTCACATGGAGCGTGTTTTAAAAACGCCTTCAATTAAAAATATTAACGAAGATAAAATGTATATTCATATTCTCAGCTCTTTCCCTTCAACGTGACTTTACCGAAAGAGCTAAGCATATGAATTACTGCAGTCACGAAAGCTTTAAATCAGCAGATAAAATGGTCAATGCGAAAAGACGTTCCTCGGTTCATTTCAAGGAATTGAGTTTGAAAATGCTCACCTAGGTGGTTCAAAGAGAGCAAATGGATGTGGTTCGGTGCTCTGCATTGGTGAGAACCCTTAGGTAGTAGGAGGGAAGTAAATGTGGTGTGGCATTAAGTGCATTCATTGGCTGTGATGATCTCTTGAGCTCGATTCTGCTCTGTTGTGGGCGGAGGTGGGGCTGTAGCTTGTTTATCGTGGGGGCTTGGTTAAATCACATGTCAATTAAGACAATCAGGAATCGGTGTGCAGATAGTTCGGCATGCTTTTTGTGGGTGTGATGCACGGCTCTTTAGCCACCTGTTGCGTGAAATTAGGGCAAATTAATTAGATGTTCTCATGTGTGCATTGCAACATTCAACCATCGTGCAATTATTCCCCGTGATGTTCCTGTCTGCCAGTTGTCTACACAAGGAGCTTAAAGAGCAGTTACTTTTTTTTAAACACTGCCAAGGGATAAAGCCAGTAAAATTGCAAAAATATCACTCTGTGACTTAACCAGATCGTCGATGGAAGCAATATTATTTGGATTTATAGCATCTAAATGTCACCAGATCTACAGACGCCATGTAAAGAGGGGGACATGATGTTCTTGGGAGCTTGGCAAAGAGGGATTAGTTTAAGTTACTTTTAGAAGGGAGGGAAAGATTTGGGGCTACAGGAAGGAAAGTAGAGTTAAATTCAACAAATTCTTAATCAACTGTAGGGGGTGTAACAATTCACCCTCAACAATTCGACGACGTGTTGCAATTTAATTATCGATTATTTTATTTACATTGTGGTGAAGCATAAAAATAATATTGATATTGTGAGCTCAAGAATCAATTTTAATCTACAGTATGCAGTTACATGTACACGTACAGTCCATATGTTAGTCCACTGCTGGATTAGGGCCTCCCGACACCGTGTGAGTTACTGGACCATACTTTACCACATTGGCCAATGTAGGTTAATGAAGGCAGGTGGCATAGACGTTGAAGCATAGCACAGTACAGTTTTTTCAGTTTCAGTTGATTTATTTTGGTATAGCCCTTGTGAGCCATTCAGCTCTTGAATCGGGTGCAACCACAACAAACAAAAAAACAAAAACACGAACAAGAAAAACATCTTAAAGTGACTACAGTGAGGGAAAAAAGTATTTGATCCCCTGCTGATTTTGTACGTTTGCCCACTGACAAAGAAATGATCAGTCTATAATTTTAATGGTAGATTTATTTGAACAGTGAGAGACAGAATAACAACAAAAAAATCCAGAAAAAAAATGTTATAAATTGATTTGCATTTTAATGAGGGAAATAAGTATTTGACCCCTCTGCAAAACATGACTTAGTACTTGGTGGCAAAACCCTTGTTGGCAATCACAGAGGTCAGACGTTTCTTGTAGTTGGCCACCAGGTTTGCACACATCTCAGGAGGGATTTTGTCCCACTCCTCTTTGCAGATCTTCTCCAAGTCATTAAGGTTTAGAGGCTGACGTTTGGCAACTCGAACCTTCAGCTCCCTCCACAGATTTTCTATGGGATTATGGTCTAGAGACTGGCTAGGTACCTTTAAGATCAGCACGCTAAATCAAAATACAGATAATACTTTGCAGCGTCATCCGGAGCGAAACATTGTATTTTATTTTACGCCAATGAATAGTAGTGGCAGCTAGGGGTGTACAACTCCTCTAGAGCAGTTTTGAAAGAAGATCCCATTGGTAGCGATTCAAGTTGCAGTTTATTGGCAATAGCATTCCAGACCCTGGGGGCATCAATAGCAAAGGCCCTTCCTCCAGTTTTTGTACGGCAATAGGGAATGTGAAGCTGGTAAATGAGCGAAGATCTGAGGTCAAATTTGTTCTTTGAAACAGAGAGGAGATCCAGCAGGTTGTCTGCGGATTTGTTGTTACGTGCCCTGTTGCATCCGTTTCAAGAGTGTGTAGAAATGCGTTTTCATTTGTTTTTAGGCACTACAACAGACTGAGGAGCTTGCTGAAGGACATGCGAAAGGAGTGCGTGATGTTTGCCAACGAGTTCCAGAGGTTTGCCTACTGTGCCCGGGAGCCCGGAGAGACTCCTGAAGCTTGGAAAACAAGGTGACTCACACAGTCAAACACACACTTTATTTACCCCCAAACAAATAATTAATCCCTGGAGCAACTTTGGTCCAACTGCTTGGGTTAAAGGGGTATTCATTGGTATTTTATTTGAAGCTTGCAAAGTTGTGTTTGGGAGTAACATGACAAGGGTTAAGTTGTGTAGGCACAGGCTGATGGTGCTGAAACAAGTTTTTGTCATGAGGTGAGCTGATATGGCAATTCAATTCAAGCAAGGCTTGCATTGTACACCTACACACAGTACAGTGGGATAATAAAACATAAATGATGGAATGAAAAGTCGGATGTCCAGTGTAGGTACAAGTTTCCTTTCATGTGAATTTTGGAAAGTTCGTGTGGATGTCACATCAACAATAGGGTAAATAGCCAAGGTATTAACATAATCAAACACGCTCCCTGGGTGGCCCTAAGCCACTGGAGGAGAGTTCACATTCATATGGTAGGGAATAATCTATCCATAGGATAACCACTTGGTTTCCCACAAAGTGGTACTCACTTTATTGGCCACTGAAGGATGATGATTTGCAGAGTCACAGTGTTACTCAAGTCAAGAGTTTATGGAATAATATTTATTTATATTACAGCAGAACACGTTCAATGCCCTCACATTTAAATCTGCCGTGTGCGTCGTTATTCAGATCCGTCTACCAGGCAGCTGTTTGGTACTACGATCACCTCGTCGGACAGATCCCCATTGTCATGTTAACAGAAGACCCCGAAGATGTGCGCCGATACGGAGCTGCCACGCCTGGCGTTTTTGTGATGCTTTTCCTGGTAAATCCTTGTTCTTGCGCTTGACAGTGTCATTGTTTTTTTAAAGTCTGTTTTAATAAACTACCATTTGGTTAAATTATTTGGTGATATTGCATTGGCAGTGGTGCACAAGCTCACATGACAGTGGGTTGAGTTTAAATTACAAATGTAACAATGTACTTCTTTGAAAATATGTTGAGTTCTTTTTTTAAGATAATGTACAAATGTATCTTCTTGGCTTCAGCTTACAAGTCAGCACACCCAGGTTGTTAGAGACTCGCGCTTGTCACTGACGGAGCCCCGAATGCATGCTTGCGCTTCCAGGATTACTTGCAGAACTTTTGGCCAGACGTCCAGATGGCACACGAGCTGTATGCATCCATACACCAAATGCTGCAAGAAAGCAAGAGTCAGGGCTTGTCCAGCAAGCGAGAATTTCCCGAACACTTGTCCCAGGAAGTGCTGGAGGCCGGCATCAAGTCCAGCCGCTACATTAAGGCAAGACGAACATCGATCACCCTCTCATGTCCCCTTCCAAGAGCCAGTTATTTAGTGCTGGTTAAACAGTGGTGGCGTAGCATGGTTCGCATGGGCCCTGGTGCAAGGAATTAATTGGGGCCCCCTGTCCAAATTCCCACCCTCGTTGTAGCTAGGAACATAGAGCCACTCTGGCTCGTGGGACTCAGTTCAGTTGCACTACGTGAACACTTTGTAGCTATGCCACTGGTGGACAAACGCAGTTAGGTATAAACGTTAATTTGAAATGTTTGTAACAGGAATTGGTTGCAAATGTATAAAGAAAGTGTAATCAACAACCACTATGCAAAAATAAAATAGATTATTAGTGATCAGATGGCAAAAGCAAATATGACATCTAATTAGTAATCAGATCTAAAAAGCTTTACTTTATCAGTTAAGACACTGACTATGCCATAAGGCAAAGATCCCCCATGTAGCCTATACAGTTTGTTGGGGCAAGCGCTGTTAGCGAGCACCTATTAAGGCCAGCACAGTGCAAGAGGGGATGCTTTGGCCAGCACCAGCCACCATTATTTCCCCAATGCTGATGTTGATGTATGGCACCAGGTACATATTTGAGGCTTCGTCGATCCATACATACCTTGAGCAATATGATGTATACCTTTTTTATGTCTTGAGTTTGAATGTATTTTCAAAACGGACTTTGTAGGTGGTGATGGGAAGTCATGCTCTGATGGAAGCATGTGCTATGATGAGCCTAAGTAAAAATGTATTGAACCTGGCGCGTCCGTGCGTGCAGGGAATCCTAAGCGTGAACAAGCACCGGGCTCAGCTGGAGGCGTTTGTACGGTGTCAGGTCAGCGACTCCAAACAGGCAGGTGAGATGCAGGAGGGTTGTTTGACCACAGTTAACTACGCTTTGTCAGTTCAGGTTGATGAATGTCAGGGTGTCCAGCACTGACTGGTTTACACATCCCACGCTATTGATACTGCCAAGTAGGTTTTGGAGCTTGTGCTATATAGGCCTCTGCTGTGTTTTCGGGATGCATCATGTTGTTTGGAATGGTGTCCGATGTTTCATTCAGAACAACACACGGTACAACCCGAAGACTCATCAGAGGGCTACTCGCTAATGATGTTCACTGTTGCCATCGATCAAACTTAAGGTCACCAGGTTCATAGGGCAGTGCGGTAACCGCTTCACTTTTGCCCCCACTTTATATTCATATTGTGCTTCGTGTTAAGAACTCGTCTTCAAAATCGGCGCTCTCTCGGCAGAGTTGCAAAGCGACGTGCTGGTGCCGGGCGTGAAGGCGCGTAACCGCGCGGTGCACGGGGACATGGTGGTTGTGGAGCTTCTGCCGCGTGCCGAGTGGCACGGTCGCGCCACAGGGCTGAGTGGGGGCGACGGCACGGACGAGCGTGCCGAGGAGGAGGCGGCACCGAAAACTGAGCCCATGCCCACCGGTCGGTGCATTAACATAATCATCATAACCGCTGCCACCGCCATGTCCATCATTCACCACTACCTGATTTAATTGCCGTTTGCAGAAAACAGTAGACCCTGAATATGATGATGTACCCAGTTAGCATTTAACTGAAAATGCATATCCCTACCCATTTTACATTGGCTTCTTGGTTTTCAAGCCTCAATTATTCTCATGCATACACATTCCTGAGCAGATCTATTCAGCTTTTTTAAAAACTGCAATTTAATGATAAGCACAACTTTCAAAATAGGCTGCTGCCAGTCGCATTTGCGGCCTGTTTTCTGGCTTGCTGTTGTCATGTTCTCATCACCATGCTGCAGTTACTTCTATTGACATTTAAGCGGGGAAACGCCTCCACCAAAAATAAAGACTTCGTGCATCCTATTGTTTTGAGGCCTAAAAGCCCAGGAAACTGTCACCTTCCTTGGTATCTTCTGGACATCTGTGAAAAAGAGCTTTATAGCTCATTTGATTCTTCCAGTATCAATTTAATATTCTGATTCTGATCTGACGCTGCTGATCACAGGGCGGGTGGTGGGCATTCTGCAGAGGAACTGGAGGGACTACGTGGCCACCTTTCCCTCTGTGGATGAAATGATGGGGCAGAGCGCCAAGTCCCAGAAAGTCCTCGTCGTGCCCTGGGATTTCCGTGTGCCCAAGATCCGCATCAGCACCAACCAGTCACAGGCGCTACAGGTGAGTTGCCTTGTGGTGCAAGCGTTGGGCTGTTCATCGATCGGCTGGAGACCTGAATTTGAGGCCATTACATATGTATACTTGGTGTAAAAAGTCCAGAATTAAGACTCGTGAATAATATTGGCCCAAATTTTAATGCAGAATAATTCTGAAAACATTTTGAGACTTAGTGAGGCTTTCTCGGGAAAAAAATATTATAATGAAGACCTTGCTCTTCTCTGCCAATGACTGATGACTTTCCATCTGTACAAATTGAAACACGGTAGTGTGTTGCCTACGTTTATAACATTTTGACCGCTCTCTTGTACAAATAACAATGTTCTGCATCGATATGTTGAGCAGACTGGCTCAACGCTCGTTTGTGCCTCTCCTTTCGCCTGTTTAAGTGACACCTGCGTGCCGGTGCTGGCTCGCCGCCTCTGCCATTTTTCACGCAGGACTACCGCGTGGTAGTACGCATAGATTCGTGGGAGGCAACGTCCCAGTACCCGAACGGGCACTTTGTGCGCGTGCTGGGCCGCGCCGGAGAGCTCGAGACGGAGGTGGCCGCCCTCCTGGTGGAAAACGCCATCTCCGTGCTGCCCTTCTCCGAAGCTCAGGTGAGGCTGCTCAGCCATCGAAGAGCTGGGGGCTAAGAGATTGGGGCACTTTCGCCCATAAGACATCAGTATGAGGGCTGCCACACAGCCTGCAAGGGGGTGTTTCCACATCTGTGTATCGTGGGGGGCCGCACTAAAAGCCACCAGGTGCCGCCAGTGGCCTGCAAGGCTTGCAATAAAGAACACTGAATTATGTCATATTCCAATTCAATTAAAAGCATGACTGTTATTTATTTGGCATGTTCTGAGAATGTCTCCCACGGAGATGGAGTCATTAAATTAAGCCTTTATCCAGCTCTGAATAGATCACGAATGATGATGGTAACGTGGAAAGACGAACAAGTGATACAGCTCCACACCTCATTCACCTGGTTCTGCCACTGCCCCATTTGGACACAGCAGTCGCTGTGTCATCAGCTGATGCTGGTGAATACGGCAGAAATACCACCATCAAGCAGTGGATAAACCGTGGCTGATGATATGGCAAGACGAACAAGCGATACTGCCCAAGGACTTTTTCACCCCGTTCTGCCGTGGTCCCATTCTTCCTCTGCAGCTGCGAGAGATGCCAGTGGACTCGCCAGAGACGCCGTGGCGGATGGACGGCGAGGAGGTGGCGCGTCGTTGCGACCTGCGCTCCTCGCACCTCATTTTCAGCGTGGACCCGCCGGGCTGTGAAGATGTGGACGACGCACTCTCCGTGAAAACAGTCGCTGGGGGGAACCTGGAGCTTGGTGTGCACATCGCAGACGTCACGCACTTCCTGCGGCCCCACTCGCACACGGATCTCGAGGCCCGCGCGCGGTAACATACGCCCCTCCCACCATCACCCCACCCCCGTGAGCGCGTACGCACCGACACGTCCATTTCACCAACGCAGAGAAGATCACACTAGAGAAGGCTTTTAAAGGAAGATCCAAGCCAAACAAAATATCTCATCTAACGAGTTTCTGGGGGCAACAGATGCAGTTATCGCCAGCCAGCTAAACTTTTAGTTATTTCTGCTGCGGCCTGCTTCACGCAGCAGCAGTGGAGCTTTCATAAAGAGATTAATTTTGGGGTCCTTCATTACACGGGGGCACTATGAGCCCAGGACACCCAGCAGGGGTGTGTATCTGCGTCTTTCTCTAAGGGGCTTTAGAAGTTGACGGTGTAAAAGGCAATGCCGGCGTTGTCTTGTTGCTTGCAGGGCCACCACATACTACTTGGCTGACCGTCGCTTCGACATGCTGCCCTCAGTCCTCAGTGGCAACCTGTGCTCGCTGCTGGGCGGCGTCGACAGGTAAGAGCCGCCAAATGGTAACAGATGGTGTCTCGTTCAGCCGTGTGCGAGCCCGGTGAAGTGAATTGTCTTGTTTGCGTGACAGAACTGGGAGGCACTATGGAAAATAAAAAACATTTAATAGACAAGAATCGTACTCATAGCCACAATTAACACGTGCCGTTACTTTTAGGCTGGTGGTACGAGTGAGATAGAATCAAACTAGAATCAGTGTAGATTAGCCGGTGAACATTGGATAAAAAATCGATTCTTGAATCTAATTGCGGCTCCCAAGTCGTGGCAATTCACTGAATCTCTGTGAGTGATGTGCACCATTAACTCATTGCATGCCCTAACATTGATCCCAAAGGCCCACTGGATCATTGACCAAATTGTTTCTTTATTTTGGCAAGGTAACAAATCTACTTCATCCAGAAGTGGATTGATCATGGCTGATGACTAGTATCTTCTAATTAACCAGGAGATGAAATATAGACCAGAAAAATATTGCCTCTTCTGCAAGGGTTACCTGGATTAATGATGGTGAACAGATACTCCCCTGTTTATGTACAATTTAAACATTTAAAGTATCTAAATGTGACCAAGTCAAATATGGAGACAAGCACATCACTATAATATTAAGGAGTTTTTTTTTGTTGTCTTCGAAGGAGTTCGAGTCAGGGTTAGACTGATATAGGGCAGAGAAAAGTACAAATGGAAACACTTCATAGAGACAGAGAAAAATAGAAAAGTCGGAAAGTTTTTAGCCTCAACACAATCCACCGAGGTATCACACGGCGACGTCGTGTTTTTGCAGGTATGCGGTGAGCGTGCGGTGGGAGCTTGACGGAGACACGTACGAGGTGAAGCGCGTGTGGTACGGCCGCACCGTCATCCGCTCGTCCTACAAGCTGAGCTACGAGACGGCGCAGGCCCTGCTCGACGGGGGCGCGGCCGCCCAGGGGGTCACCATCCCCGAGCTCGACGCTTTCGACGACGGAACGCGACAGGTGCCCGCCGCGCCCCCCTCATTCCCCACGCTCTAGGTCCGATGTAGCGGTCCGCTCGGGCCCCGTGATTAATACGTCTAAGTAAACACCCTGCGGTTCCCCCCCCCCCCACCTCCAGGAGCGGCTGCGCGAGCTGGTGTGGGCCCTGGGCCGTCTGACGGACGTGGCACGGGCCATGCGCGCCCGCCGCACAGAGGAGGGAGGCCTGGAGCTGGAGAGCGTGGAGGTGCGCGTGCAGATGAGCGAGTCGCGCGACTCCATCGCCGACCTCGTGCCGCAGCAGCCGCTCGAGGTGCACGAGACCGTGGCCGAGTGCATGATCGCCGCCAACCATTGGGTGGCTCGCCGCGTGGCGCAAGCGCTGCCCGGCCGCGCTCTGCTGCGCCATCACCCGCCTCCGCGCCACGAGTTCTTCGAGGAGCTGAAGGCGTGTGCTGCCGCGATGGGCTTCCACATCGACACGAGGCGAGTCGTCGCACGTCGCTGCTACTGCTGCTGCTGCTGCTAAACGTGGGTGACAATTCAGGCCCCTTGCCATCGGATGAATTGTCAGGATCCAAGAGCATGATTCGTTTCGCTAAGTACTCATATGACGGTGTGTATCAAATCGATATGGACTTAAGACAATGGCCCCTTGGAATTACTATAAGTACAACATTCTTACACCAATAACTCATTGTGTCTGTGAGATGGACATGTCAGTTACGTTTCTGACTTCAGTATTGTCTAGCCAAATATTAAAACCCCAGTCAACCTTTGCCAAGTGGGAGGATGCTTATTCTCCCAGGGAGTCTGGAGATTCCATCCCCCAGACATCAGTGCTGCCAAATTCCTCACTCTTTCTACGTTTCTCTGCCTATAACCACCTATTTGTGGTAAATATGCCCACAGTTTATCTACAGCATCTTGAGATGTGATGGTAATTGGATGCTATATAAATATAAAATGTAGTTGTACTGTTACACGGCTGCAGCAAGAATCATGGCAAGGACATTTAACATGTAAAAGACTGAATTTAAGCTTCATCACTCTTGAAAATATTACATAATTTTTTAAATTATTTTGGCTTCAGCTCCAACAAGGCGCTGGCAGAGTCTCTCGACAACGCCGTGGATCCCAACGACCCGCTCATTAACAAGATGCTGCGCTCAATGGCGGTCCACGCCATGTCCAACGCACTATACTTCTCCACTGGCTCCCTGCCCGCCGACCAGCACTACCACTACGGTATGATCACAAGCTAAGACCCTCTTTCATCATCGTGAACAAAATCATCATCATCATCGTGAACAAAATCTCAGCCATGATCAATCCACTGCTGGATGAAGGCCTCCCCAAGCATTCACTATCTCTCACAGCCTTGCGATGTTGTAATCCGTCTAGCGAACTACATGACGTGTCCTGCACAAGCCCACTTAATTTTCATCACCCCCTAATAAAAGAAGTTCAGTCAGCAAGGCCTGGGAAACCAGTTATTTTGCTTTACAGTTTCCTTGCATGTAATTTTAACAATTGCGACATATGCCGTGACTTTCATCTGCTCCAGGATCTCTGAACTGAACTGTAACACCTTTCACTAATACTTTTAACTTTTTGCGAAACCACTCTGCTGCGGGCAATTTAATTAAATGGTCATTTTGTTGAATATTGATGCCATTACAATCTGCCCATAGAGGTCACGACTCAATTTTAGAAACAATTTTCTACTCGATAAAATTATGTCACAGCAGCTTCAGCAGACACTTTACAGAGAAAATGGTACACTTAATCTCTGAATTGAATGGTTGCCAGAAAAAAAATAGTTGTGGGGTATGTACTGTGACTGGTAAGTTCTTCAGCCACCAGTCGCTCAAGCAGACACCAAATTCTGCAGACACAACTGTATCTAGATGCCAAAGGAGGGAAGACGCCCGATAGGATGTCACCCATAGAGAAGACGCAATGAGATTAGCTCGTGTGCAGAAGCAAGATGGACTGTGACATTGCGAGATCACGATGGTGACGACTTGGGGGGGGGGGGTCTTTAACCAGCACTGGATGATTATGAAACCAAATCGAGCTCGATCCTTCTCGGCTTCTTACCTCGTCGTCCTGTGCTCACCGTGGCGCTATGCAGGCCTCGCGCTAGACCACTACACGCATTTCACGTCGCCAATCCGGCGCTACGCCGACGTGATGGTTCACCGGCAGCTGCTGGCCGTGCTGGAGGCCAAGGGGGCGCCGGAAACCACACCGCTCAACACCGAGCTGCAGGAGCTGTGCGAGCACATCAACGAGAGGAACAGGGTGAGCGAAAACTTAAGCCGCCGCAGCATTGCGTGGCACGGAAGGGCCCGAGTACAGCGGATTCCTGCCGACGCCCAACTAAATCTTGGGCGTGTGCATTTGGGTTTGAAAGTAACTTGGCAGCTGGCCACACTTGTCTTGTTTTAAATGGGTAATTCATGTTTTAGGGATTACCTTGAATGCAAATTGCTGCGTCAGTAAGTTATATGTAATGGGAGTAAAACTTGTGGCAGGATTGTAGTTGCAGGTATTTGTAGTGAAAATATACTTTTTTTTTAAACCGTCATCTATTTCATAAAGATGAATGAATGAAAGGGTTTCAACTGGTTCAGTTTGCATCGAGCAGCAGCTGCACTTACAGGACAAAGGCACATCACCTCCCTAATCTCCTTATGAGAACAGCTCCATTTTTTGACTCTCCACTCATTAGCTGTACGTTAATAACGCGGCCACCCTCGGGATATGCTAAGACTCATTACTTATTGATGTTAGGTGGCCTAAATTGTTCGCCTTTGTAGCTTGCGTAGGTGGACTGGCCATGAGGCGCTAAACAGCTGGTCGTGTGGTCTCTCGTTTTCACAGGCTGCCCAGCAGGTTCAGAAGGAGTCCATTGAGCTCTTCCAGAGCCTGTTTTTCCGCGACAAGGACCCCGAGCAAGATGATCGCTGCGTCGAGGACGGCATCGTTTACTCGCTTCGTGCCGACGGCGTTCTCGTCCATGTGCCACGGTAACCGGAACTTCTCTTCCCATTTAAAATGTAGTAGGCTTTCGCGACCAATATTATACATAATAAAAGTTATTTTGGGTTAATCGCGTAAATATTCCGGCACAATTCGCCCGATGAAGCTGGTTGTAATTACCAGCGAAACGTCACAGTACTCAAAATTGTAAATGTTGTAGTAACTAATTGGCATGTTTTGTTTACGTGACAAACCTTACTGATGGGCTGTGTTGGGTGGTGGTGGGTTAACGATACATTTATATTTCCCTGATTAACCCAAAATAACTTTTATTCTCTTCCCATTGCCAGAGGTCACAGATGATGATCTCGCAAACGACATTTCAAAAATGTAATTCTCAAAAGTCAATTTGATAGTGTCTCCATGTTTGATTGAGCACGGGGTGGTCATCATCCTCTGTTGGTGCCTCTGAGCCAATGCTAGATTGCTAAATTTAATTGAGAGGATAATTCTCTATGGAATGCCCAATGATTGCAAGTAATAATGCATCAACCAAAAGATTATTAAGCTCATAATACAAGCATCACATTTGGTAAGAATCTCTTATCGCTTATTAATAAGTTAGGATTGACAAGGGCCGTAAGAATATACTGTAACATGAGTGAAAAATTACATGAAGCTAACAGGGACCCAAATCTTTACATCCTCACTGTTAACATCCCACAAATTGATACTCATTTCACTGACCTCGGATTAAAGATTGGCTCTCGCTTCCCAGCTGATATTTGAGCTTGAGACTTTCTGATTGTGAGTTGCATGTAACCACTAACCTAGTACTCGTCATCAATGTGGCGATGGGCAATGATTGACTGCATTCTTAATTTGCTTCTCCCCTCACCCTCTCCCCCTCGACAGATACGGTTTAAAAGGAGCAGCTTATCTCAAGAACAAAGATGGGCTCGTGGTCAGCGTAGGCACGGACGACGTCTGCGAATTTGTTCCTGGCTGCATCACGAGGGGGAAGAATCACATCACGACACAGCCGAGCGTGGGGCGCAGCCTCACCGTCCGCCTGTTTGACCACCTCATGGTAGAGCAAACCTCTCCCCTTTTTTATAACCAACATTGTAGTGCAAACAAATTACAAGGATCTAAACGTCTTGATTTAAAGCTTTCGTGACTGCAGGGATTCATATTCTTGGTTCTTTCGGTAAAGTCACCACGTAGAAGGGAAACAATTAAATAATAAAAAATATTAAACAATAACATTCTCACGACGTTTCCACTGCAACACAAGCAATCATCATCAGGTGTTAAAATCACTGCAAGAAAAATTTCAAAACCGCCACTTTTTTCAAATTTTTCTTGCCGTGGTTTTCACACCTGATGATTGCTTGTGTTGCAGTCGAAACGTCGTGATAATTTTATTGTTTTATCTTTTTATTATTTTGTTTCCCTTCTACGTGACTTTACCGTAAGAACCAAGAATATGATATAAAAGTCATTGAGGAAAAGATAACACAGCATTGAACAAACTGAGCAAGTAATTTCTCACTGCCACACTGCAACTTATGATCGAAAATAATTTGTTAATGGTAAATGTCCTGTGACGATGATGTATTCTGAATTTAATGTTTTTCTGAATTGGTTACTATTGACGTCTTAACCTGGGTGGAAATGCACATCGACACGTTTTACAGTCAACTACATTGCATCACCAGGTGGTCCTATTAACCGAGTGCTCATTTGCAATCTGAAGGTTGTGCGTTTAAATCCTGGTAGAATATTACTTAGTCCATCATTACTATTAAGAAAATCAAATGGTTATCCTCCGAAGAGAGCGGTCCCCTCCATAAAAATGTGGAATGCAACACTAAAGTAATTTTCAGCATGGGGACACTCAGGGTCTTGCCGAGGGTCACGTGTTGGCCAATATTCCATGTCATCCAATTCTTGGCAACAACTGCCAATGTCTGTAAGTGGCAAAAATCACCTTCAAGATGTAAATATGTCATTGACTTCACATCACCTTTTGTACGCACCTCCTGGGCAGGTACGGATTTACGTGCAGTCACGACGAGCACACGCGGACACAATCCGGCTGGAGGTGACACGAATGGTGACACGAATGGAGCAGCATCGGCCTCGGGATAAAATGTCGGAAGCAGCATCCGCATCGACCAACGCTGCTGTGGCAGAAGGGCAGCAGGACAGCAGCATGCCCAGGAATGCCCGGGCGGACATGGTGCGGGAGGTGAGGCAGAGAGCCGAGGAGGGGTCAAAGGTTGTGACACCCAAGACAGGACGTTCCCTTCTCTGGGAGTCCGAGTTCAGCCAGAGCAAAGGATGCCTCTACGATATCCTTGAGGACATCAGAGAGCTGGCTCTGATGGATGCTACCACCGCCTGACATCCGCCACCATGGATAAAAACGTTTTTAGGAAACGTGAAATTGCTTTCGCTCTCTGTTGAGTGAAATCGATAAAAGGGGGGCAATTTAACATGAAAGGGTAAATTGTTAGTAAAATGTGTACAGTAATTTAAAACATTTTTTTGCACATTTTGTTATTAAATTAAGTTTTGTAATGGCGTGTGATTTTCATTAAAAAATGTACATTGGTTCATTTTGTAAAATGTTGACTTTTATTGGAAATTTCAAATGTACGTTTCAAAACACATTGCTACACAAAACTGAACCTCAAAAGCATCAAACAAAGTGCAGTACTGTTTTTTTTATGCGATGGGGGTCATCAACACAGCACAGCCTTTTCATTCTAATTACAATATTACAGCCAAACCTGTTTTATAGTCCTAAGCCCTGTATGCCATTACAATTAACAAAGTCAAGAATCTGCCTCCTGCAAGAAGTTATGTTTGGCAGGTTTAACCTCCAAATGTGAAATGTACTGTTGCGCACCAACCAAATCCTGCCTACCACATAGATCGTAGAATGAACATAAAAGAAGATGAACATAAAATTCCTCATTTATTTGGCGTGAGCAGCTTGTGCTGTGGCCATTACAGTTGGAACAGGCTGATATTGCAACTGATTTCGTTGATGAACTGTTCATGATGCCACAACATAACACAAGTACGCTGTTCACAAAGAAATTACACAACTCCTGCCTGACTACTCTCTAACTTCGGTGCTGTTAAGGTTGATCCTTTGGTTGGGTTTCACTACCATCCTCAGCAGGTGCCCCTTCTGCTACAAGGTTTTGGGTCACAAGTTCGTCGGTGCAGAGGTCTTGTGCTACTTCAGCCGTTTGTGGAACAGCAAAATCCGCATCGATCCACTCCATGTCCGTATCCTGAGTGGCTGCTAAAACGACGTCATCGCCGCATTCTTTTTCATCCGTTACACTTTGATCCCTTTCATCCCTTTCATCTTGCAAGCTCGGAGATTCTGAACAGAAAGACAAATATGCGGGAGAATAACTTCACAAATACACGCAACATTAAAAATTTACTGCTCTGATGAATTATTAACCTAATATCTGTAAAGTAAACCAAAATAAGTACACCAGCTAACCAGTGGGTTAACTGAGAATAATAATTAGCATCATAGAAAATACAAGCACAAAACACAAGCAGGCAATGCCAGCATCATCTCAGTCCAACAAAAATTACAACCCATCAGTCCCACAGCCTTCTGAAAGCGAATAATTTCAGCAGCATGGATTCACTGCAGGCAAACTCCAGACCAATTTTGAGTCTGATGGACTGCCAGACATTACCTTCTCTTTAAGAGGGTCCTTGGCTATAACGTTTGGCATATTGTCTGCTTATCTATTTTGTGGGTTAACTGGGTCTGGTTCTGGTACTTTTTTTAAAAAAATCACATTTTCTATGTAAATGAGTTACATTCCCATTATACAGGAGAGCACTTTTTTCCAGATGTAGTGGCATGTGCCTATAATCCAGAATTTGAGATTTGTAGATCTGGCAGATCCTAACAAAATGGGCTATGAAGTATTGTGTATATACTAGCACAGGAAACGACATCGCTGGTCTATGTGTATGGATTTGAGTATTGCCCCCAAATGGCATGAGTTATTTAAGAGAATAGCATAGTTTTTCTAGTATATAACTGGTGGAAAATTTTCTGGTTTATGGACTACGACAAGTCAAATGTTTGCAGAACCGAGCATTGGGATTTGTTCATCTTCCATAAGACACTCAAAGAACCGATTTACCTTTTTCCTGCGACTGTGAGGATGTGATCGGCACATCTGCACTCTGCAGCTTGGCGATGCGACGCTCCATGGCGAGGCGACGGTTCCGATCGATCCTTTCGCGCTGCTCATCGGTGAGCTGTGGTGCTGGAGTGCTGCTCATGGGTGCTGGAGTGTTGCTGCTCATGGGCGCAGTTCTCGGTGTGCCAACCGAGAAAATTGGCTGCCCACTGCCGTCCAAACTGTTGTTGAGCCTTTCCCGTTCTGCGTCGTCTGCAGATCACAAAACAATGATTTGTTTATTTCGGGTCTCGCCTTCAGGTTACTTAGGTTGTATTAGGTTACACTATGGTTTTTAAAAAGGTCACTGACAAAGTGCTCAAATTCAAAATATCAAAGCGAATTCCATTGATGCTACCACACCTCTCCATTGCTTCCTTCATAGCTTCATGGTCAATGTTTAAATATGCCCCGAAAGCCATGATACACCAAGGCAGGGGCACACAGCTTCAACTTCCTCGTGGGCCTCTAGGCCATATGTTGTGCACTACTGCACAACGGTAATCGTCGCTGGTAATTTTCACTGGCAGTACATTTACTATGAATACCTTTTGCATCTTGTTGTAAGTTACATAGTGATGAAGTTCTCTTGAACAAATGAAAACTGTTGAAATGGATGTTTCATGGACAATGGTCTAAACTACAGAGTACCCAACCTTGGGTATCGCATGAACTCTGAGCAGATTAGCAACTACAATCCCAGTTGCGCACTAGTGGCCGCAGCAACAAGATTAGTACAAATTTGGGTAAGCAACTGTTTTATACAATAGAGAATGGTGCAGAAACCATCGCGGGCAACGATTACAATATAACTGTCCGAGTGTATCATTGTCTTCACTGTAATTCACTTAATGCAAAGCAAATTGCAACTTTAGATATAACTGTAAATATTTACAAACAAAAGACATTGGCTGGTTACCATTATCATGGTCAATTGTCCTGTAGTCTTCATCAAACACTGGAATATCTAACCGGATCTTCTTGAGGCAGTTCTGCAAATGACAGGCCACAAAATAAGACCAAACTTCGTACAATAGATGTGAAATTTAAATACATTTCAAGACGGCAAAATACATGTAAAAAATTTAAAACATCTTTTCCGCACCTGCACCTCTCGTTTCGACCCCAGGACCTCCATTTTGTCGATGATGTCATCAAACTGCATCTTGGGGAAGAGGCGGTGAGCCCAGTGCTCCATGTTTTTCATGATTAATTTCAGGTCTTCCACCTGCAGCATACCCAGAATTATGAAGGCATGTCACGATGCATCAATTCATTAATTTAAATGACAATAAAAAATAAATATTAAATCATAAGTAATAAAAATAAGCTTACCTCATGCCCTTTACCTTTAAACTTTACATTTTCAAATGTTTTTCTCAAGGCAGGGAGACCCCTCTCTGATGATAGTCTAAGGAAAATGTATTATTAATAACGTTTCTCTAGCTCATACGTTTAAATGCATTGTTTTCCTAAAACTGAAAAATCTAAAATACAGCATCTTGTACTCACCGCTGGGCATCTAGTTTGAGCCGAGGCCTTTTCACGATTTTCTTAACAGGTACTGGCTTGCCTTCGGCTTGAGAGTGGGTCTGAAGCTCCGCCTCATCTGAATGACAAGACAAACTTCAGGACATACAACTGAACAGAAGAGTACCATCAAGCTATATATTGTTTGAAATGTCTAATCCGCATAATTATTTTTAGATGTTATCAAACTGCATCTTGAGGGAAACAAGGCGCCCAAGGCTACATTTTACAAGAACACTTTCAAGACTACTTCAGTTGTAGTGCACTTGAGTTCAATCAATGTAATTTCATAAAATTGAGTTTCTGCAATCCTATTTTAGAATGATTTCCCATAATTGCACCCTGTAACCAGAAACATCTACTTGCAAATCAACATTAACAAGTATTCTTAGCTCTTTCGGTAAAGTCACGTTGAAGGGAATCAATATATATTTTATATTGTTTTATATATATTTATTATTTTATTGTTTCCCTTCAACGTGACTTTACCGAAAGAGCTAAGAATATGAATTACTGCAGTCACGAAAGCTTTAAATCAAAATATAAAATTAACAAGTGTTCAAATGCTAGAACATCAAGAAACTGCCTCTACAAGAGCAGCAGTCACAAGTTGTGACTAAAAGCGAATTCACTACTTCATAAGTAGTGGTGTGTAACAGATACCATGAGAGTGTGAAGGGTATATGAACTTCATCAGTTCATGATGAAGGGTACAATTCAAAATTTGGTGGCGGGACATTAAACCGAGTGGCATGACCATGTCATTACTTTTTTACATTGGCCCTACCAATACAGGGCAACCCAACCAAGTGTAGATTTCCCTTCACCAATAGATGAAATTGCACTCAAAATACTTTGTTGAATAATGAACGTTGGTGCTCATTGGCCTCTGCTGAGTCTCAGACCTCCAAAGTTTTCCCGCCGATCAGGGTCCCTGTCTTCGGGAGGCGCACGGACCCGATCCTCGTCCGAATCGTCAAACAGTTCCATGACGACGTGAGGTGGGTGAGGAGTTCCTGCTTTGGTGACTCAGCTCTGTGGATTAAGACAGTCACGGGGCTGATAGCATGTATTTCAGTGCTCAAGCAAAGGGTTGGTTATACGTGGCAGCACTGAATATAGTTTATTTTGTTTAACCAGGTGAGACCAGGAGTCTAATTTTCAAGAGTAATCTCGGTAATGTGCAGGGCAAGGTCACGGTGGTGATGAAAATGGGTTAAAACCCATGGTGATGCATGCCTGTAAATCTAGCGCATTGGAGGCATGGGTTGTAGGATTACATATATTAGTGAGACCCCCAAATCCACTGGGCCACTAGGTGACCAAGGGAAGCCATGAGAAAAAGAGGGTTTGTGACCGCATGTGCGAGGACCGGCGACTTGTATCCTAATTTTATGCATGGTAGACTTTCTCCTGGTACTCTGACTTAATCCCACAGGCAAAACCTATCTTAAGCTGTAACCTTTCAACCAATCAAAACGAACACAGATCATATAATTACTAGTTTTGCACCACCCAGTTTTGTATTAGTAACATTAATATGTGAGCACAATTTATAATTTGTACAAAAAATTGCACCTAATTTCACGCGAGATACGTTTTGTGCATTATTTTGATGCACCAAATATATTTCATGCATTTTATATTGTAAGTGTTTATATGACTGTTGAGGCGGTGGTAGAAATTCCAGTTTTAAGGCAGAGCCTATTCGCAACAAGTAATGGGATGACTCCCCACAAAGAAGTGCTTATTTGTATCTACTTGAGAGATATGATGCACTGAGGTGGCCCTGACCAAAGGTGAATGGCTGACCCCGAGATTAGGAGTGCAGTGGTCTATCAACTGAACCATGCATG